ATTACGGTGTTTGACTGCAACCAGCTACAGACTATAGATGAATTTTTATGGATGGGGAGAAAATTGAATTTTGCAATTATGCAAGTGAGAGATGAAAATACTCTGAAAGCAAGTTTATTTTAAAGAGGAAGACAACTTATTCACATTGTCACTACTAGGCCAGGACAGGCAGATGAGGTTAAAGGGCAACACCTGATACTTCACAAACATTTTTTGTTGACAAATACATGAATACACACTTAAAATACTATTAAATCTGCTTCAAACTTCACTGTAGTGTGTTATAGTGTTATAAACCATTTGTAATTCTTTATATACTGTTTATACATGTTAAGCAGGTGAGGTTAAAGTGCACTGTGTGTATAGAGAGCTCAAAAGGGACAGTACTCATTTCTGTAGCTTGGGTTACTGCAAACAGATAAAAAGTCTGCTTGACAGAAAAATAAAACCATATTTCTATTTACAGACAAGGAGCTCAGTCCATCTGGTTTCTTGTGATTCCTTTTAAATGCCTCCATTTAAAGCAGCACCTTGATGTAATTACTCATATTATATTTCAGCTGAATCCCGTTTCAGCTTTTTCTTTTGGAGAATGGGGGCGTAACCGCTTCACAGAAACCAGGAAACAGACTGATGCAAAGAGGGCGATTGAAGGGTGGGGTGTGGGGGTGTGGGGGTGTGGGGGTAATGCTGTCTAGTTTTCAGTGAAACAAGAAAATCCTGAAATCTTTTAATTCCCTTGTAAAGCCACTTTCTGCTATTTGTATTTTACCACAATTTACTGCTGAAGAACCTTTGTACACACATATGGCGATAATTACCCATATGCCACTGGGCCTGGCAGGGCCTGTTGTGTGCTGTTGGTGCTTTAAGATCAAACCACGTTTCCCGCCCTCTCATTACAAAACACCACAGGGCTATGAAGCCAGATTGGTAGCTGTATGGATCCATGATTCAACTTGTCTGTGTTGCAACAGTCCTCACAGAGGAAATGGTCGATTACCTGTGCGCTGAGTGAAAAGCTCCATGTGGTTAAAAGCAGTATGTGGGTAAGACTAAGTATCGGATGAGGCTAAGAAGAGACGTTACAAGAGCTGCAACTAAACTTTATTGTTACTGATTAACCTGGGTTACTCTTTTGATTCATTGCATCCTTACTGCTCCACAAATTCCCATCACACATAACCACATTTATGGTTTGCAACTGAGAAACACAAAGATATTTGATTTACATATATGGAACAGAGAAGAGTTTGCACATTAGCACTTTATGGGAAGCATAAAGCACAGTTCTCATGTGGCCTCGGCCTGCAGCGGAACCAGCAAACATGGAAGAGATTTGTGTTGAGAACTGTCTGTGGCTGTAGAGGAATGCCTCCGTCAGGTTCACACTGACACGGTAATGAAGAGGAGCACGAAAACCTGCATACACTCTCTCCTGTCTGTGCTGGGGGTCATAGGGGTGGTGGTGAAATGTGATCTAGGGAGCTGAATCTGGACATGTGGCAGCAGGTTGATACCTGGAACATAGACTGGGAGGGGAGGGGTGTGTGTGTGTGTGTGTGTGTGTGTGTGTGGGTGTAAGAGCTGACCCCAGCAGCAGTAGGGATGGCCTGAGGTTTCTGGCCTGCAGCATTGAAGCTTTGGATGAAAACATCACTGTTTCCTGTCGGTCTCAACTTAAGGTTCAGTCGATCCCAGAGAAACTGACTGACATGTCACTTTGCAACAGAATCGCAAGAAGCATTTGAACAATAGTGTTGAATTTCACGAACGCAGCTGTAGCGGTGACTGATGTTGTAGAAACAACTTTTCAAATCAGGAAAAGAAAATGGATATGGCTGTATTCAACCAGACTTCATATTATTTTAGATACTAAATTGATGCATTGATCAGGTTTTGTAGTGAGGTACAGAGTTACACTGCCACAGTAACTAATATGTTTAGATGTGACCATGTGACGATGAGGCAAATAATGTTGATTTGTGGGATTCATCTCATGTCTAGCACAGCGTTCATTAGTTTTAAATAAAATAAATCAGAGTGTGATCCATCCTTATCTTCTACTTTAATCACCCTTCCCTGGTTGCACACTAAAAGCCTTTTCTGCTGATTTACCTTTGTTTCAGCCTGTTTGTATTTCATCTTTGACTTGTGGCGTTGCCAGATAGTGTCGGATGCTCTAATCCTTCCAATTTACAGAGAGCACGGTGTCATCTGAAATTTCTTTCCATAAGACAAATGTTCAGTTTATTTACTTCAGTTTTTGATGGTTGATCCACCTTTAATTAACACTGTAATGCCAGTTGGTTTGGTGTGTATTCTTATTGTGGTGTACAGTTTGTGTCTTGCTCGTTGTACATGTGCTACTGTAAATAAAATGTTTTGGTAAAAGTTTCATTAAAATCATGTCATGCAGTTGAAGGAGCTGCACAAAAATTTGATAATGTTCAACAGTGGCTCAGAATTGTTCATTATAGGTATTTTAAGACGGTTTTACTCTAAAGTTCATGTTTGAGGCTTTCACATTGCCAGCTTGAATAAAAGTAGTTTTTGCAATGAACTTGAACACAGAAGCCTGTGTGCATAAAATGTAAGGAAAGAATTTACCTACAACTCCCAGTGTACATTTTAATAGCAACATCCTTTTTGATCATAGAGCTTAAATTTGCATCACATGCTAATTATTACACTCTTTAAAAATCTAAGCTGCATTTGAAAGTGTAACCCTGATTCATGCTGCCAGATTGAAGCTGATTTCTCAGATGCAAAGCTGAAATAGTTAAAACAATTGGCCTCAATAGAAACGATGTTGAGGAAGGTTGAAAATATCTTTACAGGAACTTTAAAATAGTGTCATGTTACCAAAGCCACAGGATGAGTTTTCCACTTACCGAGCTGTGTCTCTGCATCAGTAAACCAAAAAACGAATCTGTACTTGTTTGTTTATTGAAGTTCCAAGGAAGATCTGCAGTTAATCTGATGATCAGTCAGGTGAATGTCACCCTCCACTAAAACCCGGCACAGACCTGAACATTCAGTGCATCATGGCGAGGAGACCCGCTACAATAAATAATAAATGGCAAGATGATCTACGACACTGGTATTCACGACTCTGTGGCACAATATAAGACATGCTTTGCCTGCATCTTTGGGCATTCGCATTTCTTCAGACACCAGGACTTTACAGGCCTATGAATGAGGCCAAATGATTTAGGTTTCCTTTCATAAAACTCTCTGAACAAGCTTCGAGAGGGAGAATATGTGTCAGGTCGTCTCTGACCTCAGGGAGCAGCATTTCTTTCCTGCAGGTTATTCTGTGCTGATTGCTCTTCACTACCTCTCTGACAGCCCATCCAGAAGCGTTCTGCCCTCTGGTTCTCTCTGCTGTCAGTTGTGAATGTTATGAAATTTAAGCTGGAATGACCGTGCACATCTGGCGCACATTCAACCATGGGTGAACTCTGAAGCCAGGTCTAAGGCCTTCGACAGGGTATCATTCAGTTCCCCCAGAATATATGAAACAAGTCCTTTTGTTCATTTATAACAATCTCAAATATTTCCACTCACTGCTGTTTTTTGTTTTGTCCATCAGTCCATTTCTTTTATTGTTGTACAGGACAGAACATGCAGTAAATATTTACATTTTGTGGCACAACCAGCAGATATTTGATTCCCTTGGTTGAAAACAATCAATTACCAAAATATGAAGTTGCAGATTAATTGTCCTTCAGTGGATTAAATGATTAATCAACTAATTGTGCAGCTCTAAAAAGAAATAATTTCTTAAAAATCTAACCATAAATCTCTTGCTCCAGGTCAAGGCCTGGATAATAAATTACATTTATTATATCATTTTAATGTTATATATAGCCTACCACTTAAAATGTGATTAGTGAGTAGTTGTAATCCATGTAGTTGTTGCTGCTGCTTTTCCATCACATCTTTTGACTATGACCGATGATGAAGTGGGTATTAAATTATGTTCTGTAGTATAAAAAAACACTCAAAGCATTAAATTTCACTGTAATAACCCTGTTTTGCTATTTGTATACTCTATTTTCTTCATTTATGCAGTTATATTCATCCAAATACATGAACCAGAGTTTCCTGTTCTGTGTACAAAATGTCCACCCAAAAAAAAAATGTTGCGTATGTATTTTTCAAACAGGCCTCTATATCATTTCTTACAAAATTAGATTAAAATTGCCCATTTTGCATATAAACACTACTTTCTCACTCATCTCTCCACTCCTTGTTGTTTTCGTTGTCACTCTGAGGGTCGACAAACTTAACCTGCAAACAGGAAACAGGGTAGTTGATTAATACCAAATTCTGAGTTGAAATCAAAGTGATGGTGTTAGGGATTTGGATAACATCATGAGATCACAGCTACAACACAGAAGTCTGAAAAACATGGGTTAAAATGTAGACTAGGCAGATATTGATAATATGACAGGACAATGTTCTTACTACTAAAAATGCTCTGAAGGAAAATGAAAGTGAGACTAAACCTAAAATGGCACCTGGTGCTTGTATTGGAAAATAAGTCTAGTATTTGTAAAATACAGACTAAATAGATTTTAATGTTATGTGTTAGAATCACATGCATTCATTTCAGATCATCCATGTTTATCCATCCATCCATTCAGAACTTATTTTTATGGACCCTGTATTTGGAATAACTCATAAAAAACAAACAGCAGTCTAATTAGATGCACAGTATAAATGCAGTATTAGTTAGTCTGTGTTTAACTATTTTTTTCCACGTTCCATGCTCCAGTTTTGCCCAGGTCTCTCTCATCAAAGAGAGATTATCAATCCACCTGTGTGGGATGAAAGCAGCAGTTTGGTGGCTCATACCTCCTGGGACGTCTAATAAAAATACTGCAGTCACCAGCACAGACCTGTAGTACACAGGCAGTACGAGTTTTTGTTGCCATACATTATATGCCATTATAGTATATTACCTGACTTTTTTGTCTCCTTCCTGTTTACAGATCGGAGGTCTTCAGGGAGGTTTTAAAGATGGCAAATTCAGGAACAACTCTCCTCACTCTAGCAGCAGTCCTCCTGCACTTGGTGAGATATCAGGGGAGTATGGGAAAAGGAATAGATAGCTCACCTCTGAGGTTTACACACCATCTTTACAACACCAGCATCAATGAGAACTCTGCCCCGCGGACGTACGTTGAGACACCAGTGAAAATGGGCACTGAAGTGACAGATCTGCTCTGGGACATCAAATATGATGTAGTCTCAGGTGATGAGGATGGACTTTTCCAAGCAGAGGCAGTCAGAGTTGGGGATTTCTGCTTTCTCAGGATCAAAACACGCAGCGGTAACTCAGCTCTCCTTAACAGGGAGGTCAGAGACACTTACACTCTCACTGTGGAGGCAACTGAAAGCACTTCTAATTTCCAGGCTAAGACAAAGGTGTTTATTCAGGTACTTGACACCAACGACCTAAAGCCTCTCTTTTATCCTGCCTCATACAATGTGGCCATCAGGGAAGACGCACCACTTCAGTCAAGTGTGGTCAGGGTTAGCGCTACAGATGCTGACACTGGGAGCAATGCTAAGTTTTATTACTCTTTCACCAGCAGAGCCCATCCTTTTGTTGTCGACCCCTTCTCAGGCACAGTCTATCTTGTCAAGAGGCTCAATCACACCCGCTCGAAGACATACGACCTTACTGTTTTAGCAGAGGACAGAACAAAGAAGATATCTGGTGTGCAGAAATTTGGTAATGTTGCCAGAGTCACTGTAAACATACAAAAGACATCTGCAAGATCTCCAGTTATCTTATCTCCACCCAAACCGACAGTCTCTACAGATGGCAAAATAACCATCAGTGTCCACGTGGAGGCAGGGGTTAAGCCTGTGGAATCCCTTAGTATTGTTGGAGGGGATCCCCACAAGTCTTTTGAGATTATCCCCTTAGGTGTTCAGGGCAGTGACTTCCAGGTGATCTCTACAAAAAGGATTATTTGGTCTCAAACTCCTGCTGGGCTGAATTTGTCTCTCCAAGCTAAAGACAGGAGCTTCCCGAGTTTGCTTTCTCCAGTTATACAAACCCATGTTCCGGCACATCACTACAGCCCGCTTGCATTTTTGGAAGACACCTACACTGTCACTCTGAGTGAGTTTTCACCCCCTAAAACTCATGTAATTAATGTTTCTGTGACCTCGGTTCCCTATAATGTTACCTTTAGTATCAAAAATAATCCACACAGCTCTAATTTCAGGATTAATCCCCAAACTGGGATTATCATAACCACAGAGAGATTTGACTATGAGAAAAAAGATCGATACGAGTTTGATGTAGTGGCTAATCATGGTGAAGCTGAGACTCACTTAGTGGTTAAAATAATGGATGAAAATGACAACAGCCCACAGTTCACACGCACCTCCTATCAGGCTACACTGGATGAAAACACCCCTGTTGGCAGCAGTGTTTTGAAAGTAGCAGCCACAGATGCAGATAAAGGCAAAAATGGATTTGTGACTTATTCTATTGCAAATTCAGGCCCCCTGCCTTTCACAATAGACCCATTCACAGGTGTCATCTCAACCTCTGAGCACCTGGACTATGAGCTGATGAAACGGCGCTACCACCTGAGAGTGTGGGCTTCTGACAGCGGCAGCCCCTTCAGCCAAGTCAGCGAATGCCCTGTGACAATAACCCTGAACAACATCAATGATAACATCCCTTTGTTTGAGAGAGTGGGCTGCAATGCCACCGTACCTCTAGACTTACCCGTGGGGCGCACAGTCGCTGAGCTGTCAGCCATTGATGTAGATGAGCTGCAGCAGCTGAGGTATGTCATCCAGTCTGGGAACGAACTCCAGGTTTTTGGAATTAACTTGTTGTCGGGAGCAGTCACCCTTAAGCAACCGATTCCGCTGCGAGCAGGTTCGTTCACTTTGAGAGTTGTAGCTACAGATGGCAAACATCATTCTGAAGCCTCTGTCGTCAGGATAACTGTCACTAACAGAGGTGACGAGGCAACACTCCACTGCCAGGAAACGGGCATTTACAAACAGCTGACCGATAAACTAATAGAGTCAATCAAACCAAGTTTAACTGGTCAAGAGGAAGACATGTTCTCCGACATTCACATCACCAACCGACATTCCCCCAGATTTGACCAGAGCATTCCTGGATCGATTGACCTCAGAGAGGACCATCCACTGAATTCAGCTATTGTTCAGTTCAAGGCGAAGGACAATGACAGTGGGTTTAATAGTAAACTGGTGTACACCATATCAGGTGGGAATGAGGGTGGTTGTTTCTCCATTGACACTTTCTCTGGCAGCCTTCAGTTAGTTTGCCCATTAGACAGGGAGAGCAAGGAGTTCTACATTTTAAACATCACTGTTTATGATTTGGGAACACCACAAACATCTGCATGGAAGTTCCTCGCAGTGAATGTCATAGATGTCAATGACAATGCTCCGGTTTTTGATCAGCCTAGGTACGTGATACGTGTACCTGAAAACACAGAGGTGGACTCTGTTGTTTTCACAGCTCGTGCATTTGATCCGGACACAGATATGAGCGGTAATGTCCATTACTCCCTGCTGACGTCTACTGACATGTTCAGAATTGACGAGCTGACCGGTGAGGTGGCTGTGACGGACCGTTTAGATCGAGAAACCTCACCCAAGTACAACCTCTGGATTGAAGCAAGAGACCAGGCCAAACCCGGCCCTCAGTTGTTCTCCACGGTTGAACTTGTGGTGGTTTTACAGGACACAAATGACAATCCACCCAAATTTGTGCCCAAGGTTTACAAAATAAAAGTCCCAGAGGATGTTCCTGTGGGTACTCTCCTTGTCTGGGTGGAGAGTGTCGACTTAGATCTGGGCAGCGGGGCCTTCGTCACCTACAACCTTCAGAACACAGAGAGTGGGATCTTCCACCTCGACTCCTCCACGGGTGCCTTGACCCTTGAAAGAGAGCTAGACTTTGAGAGGCGGCCATCTTACAACCTCACAGTCCGAGCTGTTGATCATGGCCTCCCTCGCTCCCTCTCATCCTCTTGCTTTGTAGAGATTCAGGTTCTAGATGTCAACGAGAACATCCACAGGCCTGTGTTCACAGAGTTTGTGTATGAAGCCAGCGTGCTGGAGGATGCAGCAGTGGGGACATCTGTGGTGATGCTTACAGCTTCAGACAAGGATCTGGGTAGAGATGGAGTCGTCAGGTACCACATCCATGAAGGCTCTGGTCTAGGAGTGTTCACCATCGACGAGGAAACTGGTAATAAACACTGTGGTTTAGGGGGGTTTCGTGTAGTGTTTGTAGTAATGATGGTAAAATTGTAAATTATTTGTTATTGAACCACTCGAGACTTGTCATTTAAAAATCACAGTTCCTTTGAATTTATTTAAAACCATCCTGTATAGCCTGATGCTAACTAAAATATGGAGTTGATGCACAGTAGTGTGACTCATTTGTGTTACTCTGTTAGTTTGACATGAGTGACTAACTGAGCTAATAGAAGTAGAAATAGAAGACTAAGATTTGTTATCATGTTGTTGTTGAACTTTAAAGACCTGACACACAGCAAATTCACTGCCTGGCAGCCAGAGCAGCGCTCATGCAGCCAGTGGTCACAACTGTGCCGCATATCTCAAGCCAAGGTCAAGATTGATCCTTCAGTGTGAACATACTGTGTATTTATTTATGATTTTTTCAATTGAGATCTTGAAGATCAGCACTACCCTCCTCTAGCCTTGTCAAAGGTCACGTCTACATTAACACTAAACCAGCAACGCAGTGCTATTTTAGTGTGTCGCATATCATTTAAATGCAGTATAGCCCAGTAAAGACTAGGACATACCTACACCATGGTGTTACAGAGGATCTTTACTGCAATACATTTCCTCATTAGTTTTCATGCACTGAGGCATGTGCAGGGTTGTATAAAGGTAGTTTGTGCAGGATAGCATATCGTAGCATATTCCATTTGCCTGTTGCTGAAGGCTCAGATAAAATCAGGGCAAGTCAAGTTCATTGTCATAATTGACCATTGACCTCTTTTTACTGATTGCTAGTTTTTCAGCTCTCCTTCAGGCTATCCAAATTTAAACCACTTCTGAAGACAAGTATGTGCGGAAAAGCCGATTTTCTTTGTTTTTAGACCCCGAACATGTCATAATTGCTCTGTGATATACTCTGTGGTGTACCTTTAAGAACTTGAGTAAGTTTTGGCAACACACATTTGGCTAGATGAAAATCATAGTGACTGATGTTTCCTCCGGGGTGGCCACAGCTGTTTAATATAAAATTGATCATATTGATAAATGCGTAAATCCTGAGGCACAACAGCAGGTTTGAAAAAGAAAACATTGATGTGTTGTTCACATGTGAAACCAAGTGTTTTATCAGAACAGTTCACCCTGATTCCCACATGTGAAACCAAGTGTTTTATCAGACCAGTTCTCCCTTCCAGGTGTGATTAGAACAACGGAGACGCTGGACCGTGAGACGATGCCTCACTACTGGCTTTCTGTCTACGCCACTGATCTGGGGACGGAGCCTCTGATCTCCTGGACTCACATCTTTCTGGAGGTCCTGGATGTTAATGATAATGCTCCAGAACTTTCCCAGCCGGTATATTTTGCATCTGTCCAAGAGAATGTGGACAAGGTCAAATCCATCTTCAAGGTTTCAGCCAAAGATGTGGACACGTCCTCTGAGGGGAAACTTTCCTTCCAGATGCCTGAATCTCATCGGACGTATTTTGACATTGATCCCACAACAGGTAATTAGCTCTGAATAAGCAGAAATTTTGTACAAAACAGCAATTTAGCTTTAAAACCATCGCTGGTGACAAATGTGTTGGTTTCCAGTGGAGATCACTGATTTATGGCACCTTGTTTAAACTGTCCCTGTACAGGCAGTAGAAAGAAGTGAACCACTCATTTAACTGGTACATTTTATATCTGTTTTAGAAAAAGAGAAATATTTTACTATGAATCAACAGGGTGAGAGAGGTAGTGACCTTGGTGTAACCGTTCCACCTTGAGGAACACAACAACTTTGCATCTGAATTGTAAATGTGCAAGACAAACAAAAGCACACACCTCCTCAGTTGATACGAAAGCATCAACGTTGTTGGTAGGCTTTGTGTTAATGTCAGGCTGGATGTCATGTTAAATATTGCCTCTAATACTGGGATATCTGTATAGATGTTTAGATTCTGAGTTCAGGAAGTGAGAAGTGAAGCTCTTAGTGAGCCTGCACACCGTCACCATCCTCCCATTTCACAAGCTTTTTGATTGACTAATAATGCACTCATCCTCCCATTTCACAAGCTTTTTGATCGATTTATAATGCACATTGATTCAACTCCTCTTGTGAATACAAGACATGGTGAAGGTTTGTGCTTCCAACATATCTGTTCATTTTGCAAGCTTTATAATGAGACACTCCTTCAGAGGTCACAAATGTTTTCATCCAATGTCTGAAAAGATGTGCTGTTATCAAGACACTAAACTAAAATGGCCAAAACCATAAAACTCCTTTAACTCCCTTTAGGTATCTGCATGTTTGTTTTTAGCAGTGGAAACTGAGTCACGTGGTTCAGACACTGATGTTCAAACAAACGAGTGTAGCTCTGATGCTACAAGCCTCCACATGCCCGGTCTTCTTCCTTCAGAAAGCTGTGGCGTTAGTCCACGCCCAAAGGTGTACTGAAGGATTACAGAGAGAGAAGGCGAGTAGAGAGAGACGTCACACAGAGGCAGCGGGGGGATGGGGGGGTGTTGAAACGGCCAGAGAGTGTCACATTAAAACAAGCCCTTTTTGTGCAAGGGCAGGTGTATTTGATCACTTACTCATGCATACAAGCACACAATGAAATGTGTGTGGTTGAAAAGGGTTTTTGTGTCTGAGCGTACTTCTTCACATCCTGAGGATTTCCTAATGGCGAGTCTCAACTGCAGACTGAGCTCTTTTGACTGTAGATAACCTGAAAACTGGTGAACGTTTTTTGCTATTTGAATCCCTAGGGGCTTTCAGTTAGTCTTCCATTAATCCACGTAAGATAATAATAAGGAAAAGAAAAATAAACATGGATTTAAAGCAACACAACTGGTGGAACAAGAACAGATGTAAGCAGAGACACATATAAACACTGGAACAAAAGTAATGTGTTACACAAATGAAAGAATGAAAAAATGTCACACAGTAAAAAGATAATTGCATAAATACTTTAAACTAGAATTACAGTGTTGGATTTGTATGCCTCTACCAACCAGTCAAGTTTACATGGGCTGGGCTAATGTGAGGCCTCTTTTGACCTGTGACCTTTGACCACCAAAATCTAATCAGTTCATCCTTGAGTCCAAGTAGATGTTTGTGCCAAATGTTTCTGAGATATGTTCGTGATGCCGGGCCAGTGAACGGACAACTTGAAAATGCTTCATAATAAAGATGGCATCTTATAAAACCAGATCCAGATTTCACTGTGACCTCCCACATTTCAGGAAGAGGTTATGTAGACACCCATGTGGACGCACTTGTCTATTTTTGTCCAGGGATGTTTTTTCCTGTTGTGGTCTTGGCCCTTTATTTTCTTTATATATTTTTTAAATATTATAAAATGATGCAAACTTCCAACTTTCTGGCAACAGTTTGACAAACATGCCCAAGGACAAATGAAAAGGTCTTGGTGTGGAAGAGGTTGACTGGCCTTCACAGAGCCCTGATCTCAAACCCATCCACTGCCTGAGATGAGCTGAGTCAGGCTATAGCCCAACATCAGTGTTGAATCTCACACATACAAGATTTTAACTCCACTACATAAAGGAATTTAAACAGAACAGAAGAAAAGCTGAATGTTCTGGTCTCCCAATTCTGTACAACGTTTTTAATGACTATATTAGGTGGCAGATAAAACAAATGTCCAGTTGGAGTAGAGTATGATGTTCTCAGTACAGCACACATCCAGCACTACACACTGATGAGAGGCCACATGCTGCCACCTACTTTGAGCATCGCAGTGGGAGCAGGTCCCCAGGCTCCACAGTCAGATGGAAAGACTGAAACCAAGAGTGGAGGGTGTTTATAGCAGCACGTTAATGCCCAGGGCTTTTAAATGACAAGTTAAAAAAAATCACCTCTGAGTGTGATGTTTGTGCAAAGTGTCCACATACTTTGGGCCATGTAGTTCATTTACACTGAAGGCAAGGAAACCATTAGGAGGATGTGTTGACACTGATAATCTGACCAGAAACGCTCCAGAGCTATAAAAACCATCATGAAAAATCGCCAGACAAACAAAGAATACAAGAAAAATGTAGTATCGGCATTCACTGAACAAATAAATTATGTAAACGAGAGTGAGCATGTTTCAGTAAATGACATAAATGTGCTCATTGGAACTACATCTTTCCAATATGATTCACCATCTTACCGATGTATGCGGTGACTTGTGTAGAAACCTCTCAAGCCTCGACAGGAACGTGACTCAGAGGTTTCTGACTAAGCTTTATTCTCCTGGAGCACTGCGCTGTTGTCTGCCTGTTTAAACATTTAAGACCTTTTGATTAGGTTTCAGGAGGGAAGAGTGTGTAGTAACAAGTGACTGGACTCTGACAGCAGGTTTGTGCAGGGAACATGGCTGTGAAGGACTAGAAATCTGTATGCTTTGTTTATCTGAGTCCAGACTAGGTTTAATTATGTGTTTACAAAAAAAAAAGAGGTTGGCAAGGCTGGACAAGTCAGGAATGTTCCCAAGTCATTAAGTGTGCACAAGCAAATTCCTCAAATGATTGCTCAGCCTCTAAAGATCCTTAAACTGATATACTGATAAGGAAGCAGTTGTTTCAATTTGAAGGTGTTTTTTTTTTTACTTGTTATTAAAGATTAAGTCTAGTGATATTCTGTGATTTTTCATCGTCAACAAATTCTAAAAAGTCCACTGAAGACTAACCAGTGATAAATCAATCCTACTAAGAAGTACTGTGTGTATTTAATCCCAATGCCTTCTTCCTCTGTTCCACAGAGCTCAATTATTAACCAAAAACACATTAATTAAAACATTAATGAGTCACACTGCTGCACTGGGTTAACACACACACACACACACACACACACACACACACACACACACACTTACCCAGTCCCACATTCTGGAATACTCTCTAGCTAATGTGTATTAATCCTCAGATGAAAATAATCCGCCATACATACACAGTATGTAATGTATGGTAATACCAATAAACAGTAAAACTTATTTTGACACAATAGATCTTCTACCTTATGCAGTATTGCATAAAGTACCATAATGCGAACAATGCTAAAGTTTTCCTTTGTAACATCTATTGTAAAGGTTCATCTCTGTGCACCAGTGAAGTGGAATCTAACAGTTTGGATTAACTGAAAAAGTCTCTCTCACTTTGAAACCTTTTCAAATCTGGTCCATCTCTGTTTGTCCCACTGCAGCTTTCCTTGGATTTCTCGAACATTTGCAAAGCCTCTAAATTTCTCTCTGATTGCACTTTGAGACATTTCGTCTGTTCAGAGTAGCTGCAGTGGTTGGATATCGTTTCAAATGGCTTTCTTTGGCAGCTGATAATGCAGTGTGTTGTTTACTGCTCTTTTCAGGGGCTTGTTTTACATACGTTTGTTTTTGAAAAAGTAATAGTGTATCCTTAGTGCAAGGAAGCAGTTCCCCTTCTTCACTAACCTGGGTGAATTTGGACCCATCTTTATATCTTTAGCTGTGAGTCTGAGCAGCTTCCTCCCCCTCCTTCACCAATCATTCTCAGAAATGCCCATGCATAGTGAAACTTAAGACGGCTCCCTCGAAAGCATGATCTTGACAGGAGGAAACGAAAAACTAAGATGAGAAGTAACATGTGTGGAGTTGCAGACTGGCAGTGAATCCAGAGAGAGACGGGGAAACAAACAGCCTGGGTCCTGACATGCCAGACAGACCGTTTATCTTCACATGGTTTTGACAAGAGAGCAGCACGGCTGAGTGAAAACAGGCGATGAGGAAGGGACGAGGTTTTTCTCCTGATTCCCATGTCTGCACTAATGACAAACGCCCACTTTCTAATGTGCCCCACCTGTGCTAGTGATGTCCTCCCAGCAGGGCTTGTTTGCATTGTTGTAAAAAGGACTGAATGATCCTCAGCAGGATTTTCAATTCACTTAGACCCCCAACTTTGTTTACAGAGAGCACACCTCCTCCCCCATGCACCGGGTCCCAACACTGAAGCACATCTGTCAGGCTAATTCTGACTTCTTTGCAACTTCAGAAACCCCAGTGGAGGCTGTCGAAACTGCACATACTATAAATATATATATTTTTCTGACTTTTTTCCTGTCACCCCTTCAGTTGTTTATACAGAAATATGCTGTTGTAGTGATCGACTGAACAGTAGTACCAGAGAACATTTCCATTCCAGCTTTGGTTGATGATGATTTTTACACCTAGCGCCACTGGTGTTTAATATTAGTGACACAAACAAGAGCAGGTGATGTGAAGTAAACATGTTTCTGAGGGTCACTGTTACATATATGTTGCCATCTCTTGTTTCCACAGGGGCCTGTATGTACCTAGTGCTTCTGTACTACTGGTACTTCAGTATCAGTAGGGCCACATGCGCATGTGTGCACATTAGTGTCCATTTTGATGTTTATCAGAGACTGATGGTAATCTGGTTGGGCTGGAGGTTCCATGCCCATCCCTGGAAGTGAATATGGGAACACAGGGTACTGAAAGATAATATTCAATCTGCAAAGTAATACCATGTTTTGGTTGTGGAATTACAAGTGATTATACAACAGTAGACAAATAATAAGTAAAAGTCCTACAGTATGGCAGTGTAGTTGAGCTACTTTATATAATGGGGACTTTTTAAAGTTCTTAAATCATTCTTTTTACATTTTCTTTCTTAGCTTATTTGTTGGGGACAAATATGCATTAATTAACATCAAAGATGTAAATGTGTCACATTTAGCCAGAAGGCTAATTTTCATCCAAAAGTCCAAGGCCAGGATGGTATAATAATAATTCTATAATTAAAACAATTATAAAAAGTTAACCAAACTGTTAAGACTTGACATTAAAGTTGCTCTACACACTGCATGTGTTGCTGGATCTTTTACCTTTCCAGTTGGTTTTTCTTTGGCAGTGGATGAAAGTGTACCAGAAATTTCTGCATTGCCTTGAAAAATTACCCAAGCAAATTTAGTAATTTATAATCTGATTTTGGTTTTAAATACACAGGTTTAACCTCTTGTATTGCTAATTCCCAGTACTGTGAAGAAGTGAGGCCGATCTGTGTTCACGAAGAACAAAGACGACCTGTTGTCCACCGCATCAATAAATAAAGAGAGGACAGTTTTACTGACCTTTGTCAAAGAGCAGTAAATAGAGCAATATCAGCAATGATAAGTACCAAAGTGCACATTTGGGGGGGGATTCTGACCTGTGACACCTCCTACATGCTCTGAGCCAAACCAGCTGTGTTCTTCAAAATGTCTCACCATCGATTCCTTTCAAAGGTGTGATGAGAAGTTGATGATTATAATAAAGGAGGGAATTAACAAAATTACAGAGCAGCTTTTGGCATCAGAGATGAAGATTAGTGATTGGAGGAAGCTATATTTCCTCCTGTGTCTTGAATACCTTCAGGAAGAGCTTTAATAGAACATGGGGTTGATGCTGTCTACTCATGTCTGTCCAGATTTTAGTTGTTGTCCTTTTGCATCTTAGAAAGCTCCTGCTTCACTGCGGGCACAGAGGTGATCAGCATCGTTAAGCAGTGAGAATGAACGGTTTAAGAAAGAATACGTTCTGTACTAGACAATCTGTCATTTTTCACTCTCTCCCACCTGACCTTTGTCCTAACAGAACACATGTGATACTGTTATAGACTGGAAAAACTCAGGAACATGTAGCTGTCTGTCAGCAGCTGACCTTCAGTATCCCTGCTCCCGTCGACACATTTATTTACTTTTCCTGTAAAACTGTACTTGCTCAGTTTTGGAAACCCTGTAATCTATGGTTCAGGTTATTCTTGAACAGCGCTGGTTTGTGTGACTCGTTACGTCAGAAACCAAAAGGTGTTAATAGAGTCCCTTTCAGACTTGTGCTCCTATTCATTATTCCAGTGGCATCTGAACATGTCGGCTTCATGTGGGAATGAACTCCCTGGTCACTTTTCTGTAAAAGCCGCTATGGCACTGTCACCAGGAACACAGCTGCTAAAACTCTCTTATCCAAACATTTGTCCAGCTGACCCCTGTCACTGTCCTGCCAGCATCATTAGCAGCCCTCACCTGCCAGTGTCTCTGCTGTCCACTGAATATATTTGGCTTAGATGAGATGAGGTCAGAAGACACTGGGATCAGCTCAACAATGAAAAAACAAACAGGGCAGAACATTTTTCAACTTAAAAAGTAGTCTTGAGGAGGTGTTTTTCCATTTATACGATGACTTCTCATTCACCACAAAAACACCTGCAAGAAATTGGAGTGAAGTTTCCCAACCAAACGAGCCTAGCGACAGATTTGTGAACTCATCTGCCAAAAGCCCTTCTGTTTACAGCAGATGTTGTAGAAAATCAGAGCAATCCAAACCCACTGTAAACAGTAGTTTTCAACATGTGTCAGGAGATTTGTGTTAAGGAAAAAATTGTATTTCCTTTGTAATATTGAACAACCAACAGTGAGTGAGAAACAAACCGAGAACCGAGAATGGACACGTCCTCAGGTTGATTTATTTCTGCAGAAAGGAGTTGTCTACAACAGCACACCAGGATGCATGTTACAGAGACTCAAAGAATAAATAAGATTCACTTCAATATAAAGCAGAAGATAACGTCACACAAAAGGAGGGTACACTGAGAACAATTATGCTTCTGTGTTCAAAGAGTTTCTAATTTGCAAAAAAACACTGAGAGGTTCACAGGAGATACTTTCAAAGTCTGCGGATATTACAGTTGCTTCTTGCAGCAAACAAAGATACCTTAGGCATTCAGTGATTCAGCAGAAAACAAAGTTCACTTGTCCAGTGTGTCAAAGGTTAGTAACCATAATTGTTAGCAGACTATACTTTAATATGTAAATCAACAATATAAATGGATATACTTAAAAATGCCATTACACTTGTCTGTGTTACAACTTTGTGTAGTGTGAACTGATGACAACCTCAGCGACTGCTGAGTGTCTCCAGCAGGTTAAAGGTCTAAGTTCAGGTTTCCCACAAAACAGCTGCACAGCAGCCAAATGTGCCTGAACAACCTGCTGAGCCACATAGTTTATATCTTGTATTGGAAACAAACACAGACACAAACGCTGATTCACCAAACTGCCAGTGAGCCGTCTGGTGCTGTTGTTCAGTGATCGACCTGCTGCTCCTGTCGGAGACCGGCTTTTACCTTGGCTCATCCACACAAACTGTGGCTGGCAGCACTGACTTTTATCAGACGTGATTCACATTGTCGTCAGAAAAGGTGGCTTTGTGTTTTTGATGTGTATGTGTGTGTGTGTGTCTGTAAATTTGTTCTTCTTATTGACATCAAGTTTATTGAATGTGCAGGCAGAGTTATCTGCTGTGTGGTGACGTTCTTTGGTTTACAGTCGATGCTTTTTCCTGATAAAATGTGTCTTTTATTTGAGAGGATAGTTTGAATGAAACTCCCCAACTCAAGGGCGCACGTACTATCTTCATAACAACTGAGCAGAGTGTATCCACTGAGGAAGACAGTGAGATGTGGTTGAAAGCTCCAGATAAAGGCAGATAATAATGAACATTTGGTGACACTTTATTTTACAAGTCCTGATTTTTCCATCTAATTTCATGCAAATTCCTTTTTTGCACAACAAATTTATAAGAATTAGAATTTTTCATTTCATTTGTTATTATTATGAATAATCTGATTTTTTCTGTACATTGATGATGACAGCTGAAAAATATTGTGCTAAACAAAACTTGGATAAAATCCTTTGACAAGTTCTAATTTTCAGCAGCAGGTTCTGCAAACACACACACACACACACACACACATTCTAACAACAGCAGAAAAAACATCCGTAAACCAAAATGTGTTTGCTTAGCTGTGATCAGCTCAGCTACTGCTCTGTTTCACCGGTCAAACACACACACACACACACGCACACACACACACACACACACACACACACATGTGCAGTAACAGATGTCGGAACACATCAAACTGTCTGTGTGTGTTTGTTTAGGTGTAGTTATCACTCTCACCTCCCGGGACTGAGAACTGTCAAGCTAACAGCATTGATTCTTTCTCTGTGTGCACGTCCAGGTGTTATCAGCACTCTCTCAGCTCTGGATCGGGAGGATAAACCAGAGCACGCTGTCGAGGTGAGACTCTTACAAACAACGTTTTCACTTTTCATCAGATGCTGAAATGGGTGAAAAAAAATCCAGCTGTTTAAGTTGGAAAATCAATAAATCCATAACAAAATTTAAATTCAGCATCAAAGAGCTGTGATATCTTTTTGATGACATTAGCAAAGTATCTGAAAACATTAGCAAATTAAATTTACAGACCCAAAACAGAGTCTCAGTGAGGTGCTGGGCCTCCACATGCCACCAGAGCAGGTTCACCTCGGCTCTGAACTCTCCTGGATGGATGAACTCGGTTCTTCCAACAGATGTTCCCTCAGGTGGTGTTTTGATGAAATTGCTTTAAAAAAGTTATTCAGATAAATCATTACCTGGCCGATAAAACAAAAATATTTAGTTTTCTTGTTAAAACTCTTGGAAATCAGGGAGGGGGGGCCCATGAGCATACAGTATTCTGTCCTATATTGTACCTGCCTTCAAGGTTTTTATGTGCTAGTTAGTGCCAGTAGCAGTTATGTGCAGGAGTTCATTCTGTTCATTCTTCTTCTCTTGTCAGGTAATCGTTTCAGATAATGGATCTCCATCTTTGTGCTCCACTGCCACCGTTGTGATCCGAGTTGGGGATGACAATGACAACAGTCCAAAGTTCCCCGACAAAGTTTTCCACATCAAGCTGCCTGAGCAGCACCACCAGGCGGGTAAACAGGAGGCCTGTAGGATGGTCGCCCGTGATGATGATGAAGGCTCAAATGCTGTCGTGACCTACAGTTTGCAAGATAACAAGGATGAGCATTTTGAGATTGACTCCGTGACGGGTGAGCTGACAGCTCGGGGTGATTTCCTGCCCGGGAACTACACCATCCTCACAGTAGGTGTCCAGAACCGCTGTCAGTTTTTATATTTCTTACACTGACACCATGCATACTGACGCCAGATCTGATGAAGCCACCTTACATTGTGTGGCTCTGAAGCAAAAATGTGCCTCCTGTCTTGATAAAGAGTAAAGTAAATAGTTCCTCTAAAGAGCCATGCTTCATTTGTGTCTCTGCAGCAGGTGTGGGGACTTAAGTCTTGATCGCGCCCACCAGCTGTGCTAAACAGGCTCAGTGACCCGGGAATGTTCAGTCCTTGTCATCGCTCTGCATTAGTTACAGAAAGGCTTTGCTGGATTTTGGAAACATTAAAATAAACCTTTCCCCTTCTGTCACTGACATGGAGAACAGTCATTAGGAATCTTTCTCTTTTGTTGTTCAGTACTGTCACCAGTAATTAAAGGATAGAGGTGATGTTATTCTGTATTTTTCTTATTGTCAGCAAATCCCATGAAAAGAACAAGTCTAACAACGTGTTAGTCCATCTCTCAGCACCTCCACACTGCTCCACCCTGTTGGTTACACTCAGGCCCGACCGCACTGGATCCTGCCCTAAGATGTTAATGATGCCTTTGTTGGGGATTGTTTTCAGTGGCAGATTAAACCACATTTGGTCTTTAGTTAGTATTTAAAGCAGCATTAAGGTGTGTAAAAGGTTGAAGTAAACTACTGTGTGCCTGTGCAGCGGTGTGGCTCTCTGTCTTTTAATAGTTTGTGGACAGCAGTGGAGATCTGTGGCACAGAGCGAGGAGCGAGATCAGACTTTGGATGCAGAGACAAAACATTTATGACCAGTTTGTTGTTGCTGGTTTTGGTCATTTCATTTCATTTGGCCATGGATTTTTATTGTGGTGTCCTGTTTTTAAATTGTGATGTTGTTGTTCGCTGTGGCAGTGATGGTGTGACTTTTAAAGCAAAATCATTTCTCCCAAAGGAGACAGAGCACCTTGACCATGGTTCCATGGGATTTGATGACCCCAATTTTTTTATATATTTAAACATTAAGGTTTTTTTAGCATGTTTTAAAATGATATTTTAGAACATTATAAACAAATGTGCAAATATCAATATTTATTTTAAAGAATGGGTAAAAGTTGGCTTTATAGCCACTTAGTATTTGTATGTTGGATTGATATTGCTGATTCTTAGATGTCATACAAAAACTAAACTGGAACTGCTGCCTCTACTGTAAATGGTAGTGAAGAAAGTCTTTTATAAATACTACTAGCAGTGTGAACAGTCTGTGTTTACTTTCAGGGACCTGTGTGGTTTTCTCATCACTGTGCTGTTGCCAGACCCAGCAGCACCATGTTTTGATGTGCACGGCAACATAAAATCTAGTTGAAAGTTAGTTTGAACTGATCTGCTTCTTTTGAAGACGCTGTAGAATTTAGCTGAAATCTTTTAAAGACAAAGACAATATGTCTGAGAATCATAAACAGCCTGGTTGTGTAGCTCTGCTAAACTCTCTGATCACACCTTAGTGTGTGATGTCATGCAGGTATGACCGTGCCACCCACCCAAACAAGCATTTAGCCTGAGCTGTGAGGTGGGCAGAGTTTTCTTAAACACTGCTTTTACAGCTGTTCTGTTTTTGGTAAAACCCTCATTAGAATGTTAATTTAATGTCTGTGTTCATTCCCAGATTAAAGCCACAGACCACGGCAGCCCGTCACGCTCGTCCACAGCCAGACTCCACATCGAGTGGATCGCCCTCCCCCCACCCTCCACTGAGCCAATCACGTTTGACGAGCCCCACTTCACCTTTGCCGTCATGGAAACGGAGCCTGTCACTCACATGGTGGGCATCATCATGACGGAAACGCAGCAGCTGAGGTGGTTCGATATCGTAGGTGAGTAGAAATGAACTAACACACACACACTCTGACATCTGTGTAGAAATGAACTAACACACACACACTCTGGCATCTACAGTATGGTCATAATCACACAAATGAGGGACATGAGTGTGTGTGGTTGTCTGTCTCTACGTGTCAGCGCTGTACCCCTGTACCCCGCCTCTCAGCCAGGCTCAGCTGGGATTGGCTCCAGCCTCAACCCTCCTCAGGACAAGTGGTATAGACAATGGTTGGATGGATGGATGAGGGCAGTGATGTCAAAAAGAACATAAACAATGGATAAAACAAACTACTGAGGGAAAAAACATGGCATACATGAATTAGGAAATGATTTCAGACATTCACCATATTTCCACTTACAGTGAAGTGCTGCCTCATAGAGTGTCGGCTCACACCAGAGACTGCTAACAGGTTACATTCGTCATCCTTCCTTGTGAACCTTTACTGACTCTGGAGACCAGTTGTTTTCTAAAGGTCAGCACAGTCGTACAGCAGTGCATGGTGCTAGAACAGAGCAGGGAGGAGGCAAACAGCATGAGTGGCAGTATAAGGAAAAACATTTACTGATATTCTTACTGTTGTATTTCAATCTGTGAATGTCAGCGTTTCCAAGACACTTTAGTGCTGTGATTTTCCTTCTTTGATCAATCACTCACTTTAACTAAATCAGCCTAAATGTCAGTTGTTTCCCAGAATATCTTGAGAGAACTCATCTCAGTGATGGCAGAAAATGAGAGGGAATTGGGTGCAGAAGGATCTGAAGATGCACAAAGGGCACTGAAGTGGCACTGAAGCTGCATGTTTCCTGTCTGTGGGTGAACTGAGTTGATCACTGAATCCATAGAAGACACTTGCATCACAGACAGGAAAGGTTCAGGGGCAATGTAAGACTTAGCAGAAATGGGTGTGGTACTTGGCTTTGACTGGCTCTGTTCACTTTCAGCTAAAACTGTGTACCTGTACGTGCATGCACATGCACATGAACACTATGCAGAGTAAATGGTCAAATCTTTCTTGTCAATATTTCTGCCAAATCTTTGCAACTTTGCTGTGGATGTTTTGCATAACTTCCTGTTTGTGTGCAGTGGGTTTATGATTTAAAATATTTATAATTGTTAATTATGAGTTCATTCCTTGACGCTTCCTCAGTAGCCACAGGCTTCATTTTAGAAGGAGATCGAATGTAAGGACTTGCAGGGCTAGCAGATATTTTAGATGGTTGGGTGGTTAGGCAGAAGCCATCACAGACGCGTCAGTGTTCCTACAGTGATGGATGAATAGAGAGAAACATGGTGAGGAGGAGAGGAGAAAAAAGTCCTAGTGTCAGCAGGACTTTGGAGGATAAAGGAGAACTCGGCAGCGTTCCTGATCCCATCACCTGCCAGATCACCACGGGAACACGGGCTGGCCATTCTCCTTTTCCTCCTCTCATCCTCTCTTTTTTTCTCTCCATTCTGGCTTTTCTCAAATCCAAACAATATGAGAAGGACTGTCGCAGAGAGCTTTATGGAAACTCAATGACAAATGGAATCAGCCCTCTGACTCCGGACATGCCTGTGTCTCGTTCTCTTGTCCTGTCGTCAGCCCGGTTCCTGCCAGTCGGGGCAGCGCGTGCAGAGAAAGTCCGAGCTTCCTCCTGTTCACTTTTCTGTGCCAAGCTTAGTCTGTGCCAGACCTAAGCAGAACACAACAGACACTCGCTGCATGCCTGAAGGCACATTCACTTGTCTCACTGCTGCTGACGGCGGATGTTTCGTCTGGTGACATTTGTGTGTTGCATTATGGTAAATGGACTGTATTTTATATAGCGCTTTCTAACAGTGTGTTGCACTGGCCAAAGCGCTTTACAGGGAGATCATACATCATTCACCCATTCACCCATGACGACAGGCTGCCACGCACCAGTGCTAGTCAAGCCACCGGGAGCAATTCGGGGTTCAGTGTCTTGCTTAGGGACACTTAGGCATGCGGGGAGAGCGGGAGTCGAACCACCAACTTGCTGGTCAGGAGATGACTGCCCTACCTCGTGAGCCAACATGAAGGAGTCCTGTTCATCCTGAAGAGATTTACCACTCTGTAACCATATGCCGCTTAAATATAGTTTCATAATTATTCTAGGATGAAAGAAAATGGCCAACAGACTGAATCTGATTGCATTTACACAATATTAATATTACATACTGTACATCTGTTAAATGTACAGTCATTTGCATACTCGGCTCCTATTGGACAGTTCTGCTGTGATGCTGCCACCATGCTGGCCCATAACAAGGTCGCCTCAGTCAGCACTTCTTGTTTCTGCAATTTTAAAAATGTTCAGCAGCTACACAGAAATAAAACAAGTCTGTTTTGATTTAGAATAATAATAATAATAAGAGCAGGCGAGTTTTGCATCTCTGCTGTTTGTACAGGGATGTAGCATTCCTCCAGCTTCACTGGACTGTGCACAGGAGCGGGTCTCAGCAGGGTGTGATGTGATCAGGATGAGGGTCAGCACCAGCAGGTTTGAGGCCTTGACTCTCTGCTGGGGGGATGTGGTTTGTCCGCTGCAGGGAAGGACTGAGCATCTGCTCTGAGCGGATGAGTTCAGGCTTCTCTGGGTCTGAATCCAGCAAAAATGAAAACCGTAAAAATATTCCATAAAAAATGGAATAAATCTTGCACCTACATGTAAAAGTTAGATTTCACTTTACTCAGTTTTGGATTAGAGATGGGCAGTGTGGCCATAAAACTGTATTTTTGCAAGGTACCCACACACTGCGAGGAGCAGTGAACATATGTGAAAAATGATGTGCCACATTTTCTTTGTTTGGTTATAAAATTTTAAATCCTGTTTACACAAAAGGGCCAAATTATAGTTGCTTGACTCCTGGCTCCGAGGGAGAATTATTCATGTCCACGCCTCCTAGTTCTCGAAGACTTTTGTTTTCAGCCACGTTGTGTCAGTGCAACACAACATTGTTGATATTGTGACATGGTGCATTTTTATCCCAAACATTTATACTGATGTTGAGCACCGCCTACTGTAGTTCCAGTTTGGCATGTAAGTTCCGTCTTGACTTTGGAAATGGTAGCTGGAGTTAACTTTGAAAACAAAGGTCCAGTTACCAGCTTTTCTCTCTACTTTGAGTCGCATATCACGCCCTTCATCAGTGGAGAAAGGGTTGTGTTCGCTGTGGAAAAGCATGAGATTGAGTTGAATGCTTCAAATGCAAAGATTTATTTGTCACATCTTTAGTTTACCAGCCTGGGGGTCACAACATTAATCACAGCTGTCACTAAATGTTTAAGACAACAGGATAGAACAGGACCGTGTTTCTGCTCCCTAAAATTGTTTAGTTTTTAGATATTTTTCTTCTTTCTCCTCTTTTTTAATGTGAAATATTTTTACCTGTTCAGGCATCTAAAAATGAACTCAGTGGGAGAAGGTTCTAACTGCTCATTAAGATTTATAACCCTGATCAGGGATTGGTGAGTTGAATGTGGATCAGTGTGGGGTCACAAGCCAGAACAGTATGTTTTTATTTAGTATGATCCAAAGCTTCAGGCTTATTCTTATTCTTGCATTAACATTTTGCATTTGTTTATCAGTTATTTTTTGTATTGACTGGTTGTTGTACACACTGTCAAAATAGCTTCTAAGGGTTCAGGTTGTAACTGACATCTTCACGTCTTATTTTGTTCAATTTATGATGATATAAAACAGAGAAAAGGAAAAGAGCCTTATGTTTTAGGAGATGAAACAGGAGAACGTTTCATGTTTCCATAATACTGTAGGAGATAAATGGAAGGTCAAGTCATTATCCAATTTATTGTGGATTATCTCCTCATTGATCAACTGTCTGGCTGCCCCAGAGTTTTCAGAACCTGTTTCATCTCTTTTTAAACAACACACCTGGTCACGATCTTTGTCTGAAGTCCAACCGACACTCTGACCAAAGTCATACCAGCTGTCTGAGGAATCAGTGTCCAGTGCAAATCTTTTCTGTTTATGGAAACTTGAAAAGCATTTCTCCAATCCTTCAGTGGTGGAGGAGCAAGTTCATGCTTGCTCCTGGACATTTTACTTTTTGTCCCACTTTGGTAGAAGGTATTGTGACTGTAGTGAACAGTGATCTTCTGACTGTCAGCTGTTGTCACAGCCTCTGAACAGAGATTCAACTGCAGATGAAATCAGAGGACGTGATTCTGTCAGGAGGTTGGTTGACCTGAGTCTCTGTGCAGGGTGAGGACAGCAGGTTCCTCCTGCTGTTGTGTGGCAGGTCAGGCACCTGGAATGGACCCTGAGGCAGACACAGGAGAGAGGAGCCTCAGAAAAGGACATCTGTTTTGGGGTCATTTCAACACACCTTCATGGACTTGTCCTGAAAGGAACATCTGCATCATCCTAACCCCGTTTGACATTTTGAGGATCAGCAATATTTAACTCGGAAGCTTATCATTCAGTCATTTCAAGGTCAGAGGTCACATATATTGCTCAGATTCCTCCACTATGAACTAAGAAAATCCACTGCAAGTCTATAGCAAATTCAAGACAGGAAGAAACGAGCACAGACACAGAACATTCTCAAACTGCTTCACCCTAAGGACATAACACCCAGACATACTGACCACAACAAAGCTATTTGGTCTTGAAGCCTGTCTTCTTGGATGTCGGTGAAAATCCTGTGTAACATGACATTGGGGATACCCTTTTTCCTCACAGAGCCACACTGAGAGAAAGATTTGTTGCATGGTTGGCTCCAAAGGGATTTGAACATCCAACCTTAGTAAGAATTTCATTTTTCCCTGAGATGATCAGTAAGGTGAAAAACTGATTTTACATTGTGCCCTCCTATCTATCAGCCAGTGTGTTTTTATTTTATCCCCATGATTGCTGATGTTTATTTAACAGGAAGTCAATTCAAGGATTTGGATTTAGTAAACCAGTTAAACAGACCTAACCTGCTGAAAGGTCAGGCCATCCTACGGTCCGTTTCTAACAGGAAAGCCAGGTATCGTTAGCAGAGGTTGAGTGTGTGTAGAAAGTTAGAGAAATGCATTCATGTGTCATTCCACTTTCTTTCCACATAAATTGAAAAATGAAAACCATGATTTAAATTTAAATGAAGTGGCAACAGGGCGCAGCCTCAGCCATCACATGAGAGAAACATGTCTCTGTGTGTTGAGCTCTTTCACAAGGTGGATATGTTAATAAACACCATCTGGTTGAGCAGGCATGAGGTTTACCTTTCTAACGTTTGAACACAACCTGCTGAGAGAGTAAGAGGAAAGACATGAAGCAAGAGAAACCAAGAGGGTGCAGGATGAAGCAGAAGGAAGGAGGGAAAACAGGAAAGAAAGGAGTGAATCAGGAGAACCAGATGGACAGGGTGAGTCAGTGTTACAGCAGATTTAAAGCACAGTATGTTTCAAAATTAGATGAGTTGTAACAAGGAAAGAAATAAAATGATCACGGTTGCAGACAGAAAATAAGCAGATAAATCAGGATAAAGGATACAGAGGATATAGAAGAGAGCAGTGATGAATATAAAAAAGGAAATCCACTTTTGAACACCTGGGGTTTAAAATTTGTTGGCAGCAACAGGAACAGAATATCTTCTCAAAGCCAGAAAACGCAGCTCAGAGGTGTGTTTTCATTTCAAGAGTCAGAAGGAAGGGCAGCACGGCTGACCCTGGGCCTTTCTGTGCGGAGTTTGCATGTTCTCCCCGTGTTTGTGTGGGTTCTCTCCGGGTGCTCCGGCTTCCTCCCACAGACATGCAGCATAGGTTGATTGGTGTCTCTAAACTGCCCATGTGTGTGAGCCCTGCAATGGACTGGCGACCTGTCCAGGGTGTACCCCGCCTCTCGCCCGCAGCTGGCTGGGATTGGCTCCGTGACCCCGTTTGGGACTAAGCAGTTTGGAAACCCATGCATGACACTTTTTGTAAAGTTGAGTCAGTGAATTAAAACTAAAACTAAAACTTGATTGTTGTGGTGAAAGATGAAATAGTTGCTACCAAGATAATGTTCTAAAGTTTTCCAGTTCTGAGTATAATTAACCTCTGTGATGTTTTGGCATCTGTTAAGTCTTTATTATTCTGCCAGTGAAACTTCTTTGATAGTATTTCATGTCTCAGCAGTACATTAATCACCCCCACCCACCAGCATGGTGGAGCAGAGACCTGTTAACCGTCTACCACACAGCCCACCGACATGACTTCTGTACCACTCCCCTAGTTAATATTCAGCTTTTATTTATTCATTTCTTTATTCATTCATCCTCCACTGTTTTTGGCAGGAGAACATGAAACTGAACCAAGTTAAGGTTAAACAAACTTTTACACTCAGACTGTTATAGCTGCTGTGGAGGGTCTGAACGTCTCAGTAGGTTTCTCAGTTCAAAACATCCCCCTGTGATGGATGGAGTCATGAAGCAAAGAAAATCAAAATCACTCCCTTTTCCTTGATTCTTCTTTGTTTCTTGGTCTAGTTTAATTCAACAACCTCGAAAGAAGGTGTAGTCACAGAAATAACTGAAACTACAACAGCCACATATGTTTTTCCATCCGGGACTCCTGTTGAAGAAGCTTAAGAGTTAGAAAGTGGATCATGGGAAATTGGTTCAGGTCTTCAGATGTGGGAGGGCATTATCCTGTTACATCATTTCTGCAATCAAACCTGCAGAGTCTCATATATTGTCTGAGATATTACACCTGCCAGCTGCACACAACCTGATCCATAACCACATAGACTGTAGCATCAACCTCTCTCTCTCTCTCTCTCCATCTTATTTTCCATCCTCTGTTTCTGTCTTAGGTGGTGATGAGGAAAAGGATTTTGGCATCCAAAGAAACACAGGAACCATCTTGATTGCCCGCCAGCTCAATGCTGCTCGCCACTCCAACTACAACCTGACAGTGCGGGTCACCGACGGTCACCACAGTGCCACCACGCAGGTGAGAAACACAGGCGGAAGTCAAGCTCACAAAAACATGTCACATATTTGCAGAACCCAGGAAATAAGGAAGAATGGCGTGAAAATATATCATATTCTAACATTTTACTATATTCATATACAAAAGTTTTTTTCCCTCAAAGATGCTGTTTATTATTATGTGGACATCAATATGTTTAACTATTATGTAACAAACTCTGGGTTGAGTAGGAACTCAGAAGGAAGATCAGGTCGTCCACTAACTGTCGGGTTTGGAGCTGTTACATTTTTCAGTAGCTGGCCAGAAAGCTTGACCTCAGAATAAAAGCAAAATGATCATATCTGCACAGTTTCAGTAGAACTACGGGGTATGTTTTAAAAATGAAAAGACAATCGGAGGAAAGAAAATGGAAGACGCAGGATCAAAAGTACCAAACGGTGAATAAGCTACATTACATATGATGTATTTTGCTAAAGCCACAGTTGGCCTGTAGTTGTGTGGTGTGAACTTGAACTAATACAACAAAAACAGAATAACCTTTCCCACCATATTTGATACTAAGGAAAACAGTGTGTGTGATGGCATCGTAAAGTCATTGTGCAATTCATCCTCCATTAATCAAAAACCTTTTACATCTTTCCTGAATGTCCACATTTGATTTTGACTCTGGTTTAGTATCTAAGCATGAAATCCTGCAGGCATCAGCTGACATGTGTGAAGCACTGCCGTCCATATTTAACATTGTTCACACTGCTTTGTTTTTTGTCAAACCCAAACTGCAGGCCTACATCCGTGTGCTGGACATGAACGAGCATCGCCCTGTCTTCCTGAAGCCGCTGTACGAGGTGAGAGCTGAGGAGAGATCCATTTTCATATGAATACTGAAGTCAGAATAGCAGAGCTTACAGCTGGGTGGTAAGTGCAGGAATCCCCACAAAGATGTTTGTACAGGTAATGATAGCTATGTCAGAGATGCAGCCAGGTGTGAAAAGCAGGTGAGTACTTTTGGACCCTCTCAACAAATTGGCAGCATTTCAAGGATGTGGAATTAGCTACTATGCTATCAGTTTCTGTTAATGTATGAATGTACAGACAATCACTGGATTGATGCTGAGGAAAAGTCAAATGTGATGCCTCTCAGGCATGTTCTGTGATTTCTAAGAATGCTTGTGGACATTTACTTGCAATGGACATTGGATATGATGATATCTTCAAGACATGTAGACAAATTGAATCAAAACTATTTGTGTCGTGTGTGTTCACATCTGCCTGAGTTATGACTCCGAGAAGCAAATTGTGGAAGTCAGATGTTTAGTTTCCTTCGTGACCTGTATCTGTTTTTTACCTAACAAAAATTTGTTCCCCATGAGAATCTCATACATTTTCTTCCAAAGCCTGGTCTACATTTAGGATACACATACAATGTAAGGCTGCTGTTTTCTTTCCATTATCTTGAAAAGCTTCACTGTCCTGTTCCTGTGTATTTTAAGGTGAGAGTTCCTGAGGATACCTCCCCCTGGAAGGACATTCTGCAAATCAGTGCTCAGGATGCCGACACCAACAGTAAACTGGTGTACTCCATCCACAGCAGTCTCCACCCAGACAGCACCAAGTTCTTCCATCTGGACCCAAAGAGCGGAGTCCTGGTGATGATGGAGGAGCTTGACTATGAGATGATCTCTGTTCACACGCTCATCATAATGGTAAGGACATTTATCTCAGTTGAATACAGCAGAACAGAGACTGAAACCTCTTCAACCATTTAGACAAATATACTGTACATTCATGAAGCACCTACAAAGAGGACGCAAATAAAAAACAGTGAGGATATGGGACACAATCATAATGCAACATAACACCAGTGAAATCAGGTATCACTAAGCAAAGCTGGTGCAGTACTCATGATTTTAGTTCTTTCTTTTATTATTTTTGTCCAGCAGTTATTACTGCAACAACCCTAATGGTATTTTAGCGCCACAGACACAGACTTTTTTATAGTTCCTGGCTCCTCCTCAGGTGCGTGACCAGGAGATCCCAGTAAAGAGGAACTTTGCAAAGGTGGTGGTTCACGTGGAGGATTGTAATGACCACTCGCCGGCCTTCCTCAGCCCCCGCTATGAGGCCAGCATCTCCAACCTGGCCTCTACCGGCTCTGAGGTCATCCAGGTCAAGGCTTTGGACAAGGACATGGGCAGCAATGCTGAAATCAGCTACTCTCTGCACTCTGGTGAGCAGCACAGTGATTATATTTATCTTTTAATTATGTCTACTTCATTTCAGCTTCATATTCATTTAGTTACGCATATTCACACTTTGGACATGCCACCATTTTCTAACGTTGACCACTGGGAGCTTCCTGTACAACTACAGCATTCAAATGTAGATTATTTGGCTCCACTGAGGCAGAGAGAGTTTAAAGGCGCAATGATGATACATGAGAAAGCACAGAGTGTTTCTCATTGAAATGCTGTGAATTTCTCTTTGGGGTTTGAATTTAAACTTTGTGTTCTCGGTCCTTGTCTTGTCCCAATCATTCATCATGCTGAAACATCTTGATCCTCGGAGAGATTATTGGAACAGCTGAGCCAAACAACTTGCAATCTGTTGCAATAGTGAAAACTCTTTATCCAAGGCATTTTGCTGATCAGCAGGGAAGAAGCAAAGGATAGAACGTGAGCCTCGGCTGCTGCATTAGAATACATTATACCAGCAAAAATTGGTATAATCAATAATAACTGGCATATCGTTTTTCACAATTGCACATGTGTGGGTCAGTCAGTGTTTGTCAGTATATTTGAGTTACAGACCTTCAAGTCTCTGACAAAGGTTTTATGAGTGAAACGTGGTTTACTATCACAGAAATAGCATTTTGGAGTTGTTCAATTGTGTGACACATGATTTCCTCTCTTCCTGCAGGAAACATCAACAGCATCTTCTCTATAGATCCAGAGCAAGGCTCTATCAGTGTGTCCAAACCTCTGGACCTTCAGCCTCAGGACCAGTTCTTCCTGATTGTGAAGGCCACTGATCAGGGTTTTCCTCAGCGCAGCGACCTCTCCTCTGTTCATATCCACATTGTCATATCCGACCAAACCCCACCTGCCTTCCTTTCAGACGAATACTTAACAGAGATCAGTGAATTGATCAGCGTTGGAATGCCAGTGGTCACTGTCTCAGCTTCCAGCCCAGCTGCAGTTCATTATGGAATAGAGAGTGGCAACCCAAATGGGACATTCAGTATCAACCCATACACTGGATTGATTTCAACCCAAAAGCAGCTTGATTTTGAGAACTGTGCCTCTTACAAGCTCAAAGTTATAGCCTCCACCACAGCTGGAGCCCTGTCCAGGGCTGTCGTTTTTATCTATGTGATTGACGAGAATGACAATGCTCCTGTGTTTCAGCAGACCGAGTACTTTGGGCAAATAAGTGAGTCAGCTCATATAAACAGCATGGTGATGGGAGAAAGAAACACCCCTCTGGTCATCCAGGCTTCAGATGTAGACAGAGATGCCAATTCTCTGTTGGTGTTTGAGATCCTTGATCCAGAGGCCCTGAAGATCTTCAAGATAGACTCTAGTATGGGCACCATCTCTTTAATCTCACCAGTTGACTTTGAAGCTAAGGCTGAGTATCACTTCAACGTGCAGGTAAAGGACTCGGGGGAGCCATCACTGTATGCAGCAGAGCCTGCCAAGGTCACTGTTCGTATCCTGGACATGAATGACTGCCCGCCACGCTTCACCACTCCAGCATATGAGCCGTCTATCATTTTCCCGGTTGTCAGAGATGCAGAGGTTGTGCGTGTCATGGCCCATGACCCTGACTCAACAGTCTCATACAGCATAACAGAGGGGAATCTTCACAATACCTTTTCAATTCACCCCAGTACCGGAGTCATCATTGTGAGCAATGCGTCTGACTTTAGGCCATTTTACCAATTGGTTGTCAAAGCTTCAGACGACCTCTATCAAGACTCAGCTACTGTTAGGGTAAATGTAGCAAACCTAACAGCAAGCGATCTTGGATTTGAGCAGAAAATGTATTCAGCAAGTGTTACAGAAAATCTAAGGACAGTCAAAACTTTGGCGGCAGTAAAAGCTACAGGTTGTTTTTTAAACGAGCCTCTTTTATATTCTGTGGTAAACCCAAAGGGGAGGTTTGCAATTTCCCAAACATCAGGCGTACTTGAAACAACAGGTGTCCCTTTTGACCGAGAGGAGCGAGATGTTTATGATGTAGTGGTGAAGGTACAAGACATGAGAACACCTCCTAGAACAGCTACAACCCAAGTCAAGGTTTTTATAGATGATGTCAATGACAACTCTCCGCAGTTTCTAAACCTGCCTTTTTCAATGATGATATCTGAAGACTCTGAGCCAGGAGATGTTTTGTATCAAGTAACTGCCATCGACAGAGATTTAGGAGAAAATGGATCCATCATGTACTCAGTAGAGGAAGACTACAACCTCTTCAGGATTGATCCTGAAGTAGGCGATGTCTCTCTTCAGAGGCCCCTTGACTTTGAAGCCCTGAATAAATATGTACTGACAGTCTTGGCTACAGATGAAGGTGAACCCAGTCACAGCACTGTAGCACAGCTCAGCATTCAAGTGAGAAATCGAACCAACCCAATTTTCCAGACTCTACTCTATCCACTGAAAGTTCCTGAAAACGTCCCCTCATTCACCACCATCTTGCACGTCCAGGCCAGAAATCCCGAAGGATACCGACTGATTTACAACCTTGAAGAGGAAAATGCCTCGAAACACTTTCATATTGATTTCAAAACTGGTGTGTTGACAGTCACCAGTCCCCTCGACTATGAGAGCCAAACCATGCATGTGTTGACAGTTCGAGCTACTGATTCTGTAACTGGAGCTTTCTCAGAGGCATCAATTGAAGTAGAAGTGGAGGATGTGAATGACAATGCGCCGGTTTTTTCAAAGCTGATGTACAGTGTGAACATTACTGAGGGGCTCTCAATTGGCACCTCAGTGATACAAGTCTCAGCGTCTGATAGGGACTATGGCAGAAATAAAGAGTTGACCTTCAAGATAGTGAAAACAGACCTGGATGAGCCGGATTTCTTTGAGATTGACCCTCAGAGCGGGCTTATTGTCACAAAACAAGTGCTGGACCATGAAAACAAAAGGCACTTTAATTTGAAAATCAAAGCCACCGACAATGGCACTGTCCCTCTTAGTAGTGAAGCCTATGTTGTCATAAATGTCACCGATGTCAATGACAACCCACCAGATTTTGTCAGCTCCCAGTATGCAGCCACACTAGATGAAACGGCAAAGTGTGGCCACATAGTCATCAAAATCCAAGCTTCAGATCCAGACACTGGCGACCTGAATAATCTCAAGTACAAAATCCTCTCAGGGAACAAAGGCCGCTACTTCAACATCAACGAATCCTCAGGGATCATTTCCTTTTCCAATGTTTGTAAGAGAAATCTTGATCCTTACTATAACTTGACAGTGGCAGTGTCTGATGGGGTGTTTCAGAAAACAGCACCAGTCAGTATAGACATGCTCAGCAGCAACAGGCATAGCCCATACTTCAAACAGAGCATTTATGAAGCAGAGCTGGCTGAAAATGCTGAAGCAGGAACACGTGTGATCCGACTAGCGGCCATTGACCCTGATGATGGCCCATATGGCAGCGTTGACTACACTATCATCAACAAACTCGCAGAGGAGACTTTTACCATCAGCGGGGACGGGCAGATTGTTACAACACAACCGCTGGACAGAGAAAACCCCTCCCAGAGAGTCATAGCCATAAAAGTGATGGCAAAAGATGGAGGCGGAAGAGTGGGTTTTTGCACGGTCAAGATTATTCTCACAGATGAGAATGACAACGTACCTCAGTTCAAAGCATCAGAGTACCAGGTTTCAATTCAGTCAACAGTAAATAAAGGCTCCCCTGTCATTCAAATCATGGCTTATGATGCCGACAGTGGCAAAAATGCAGACATCACCTACACTGTAGACGAAGCCAAGGAGGTGTCAGAAGACATTATCGAGATCAACCCTTTCACTGGAGTTGTAAGTGTCAAAGAGAGTCTTGTCGGCATGGAGAACAAAATCTTCAATTTCAAAGTCAAAGCTCGCGATGGCAGCCTTCCCTTCTACAACTCCACAGTCCCTGTTCAGGTCAAAGTAATTCCCCCTGAGGTACCACTTCCAAAGTTTTCAGAGCCTCTTTATACCTTCACAGCAGCTGAGGACATCCCAGTAGGGACAGAGATCGGCTCTGTGAGGGCAGACTCTGACATGCCCCTTATTTACAGTCTGGTGAACGGGAACACAGTCAAAAGCAACAAAGACAGAGTGTTCAGCTTGGACAAAGAAAGCGGGACTTTACTGCTGCAGAAGACCATTGACCATGAAAAGACCAAGTGGTACCAAATAGATGTGATCGCCCAGGGGAACCACAACGGGACGGATGTGGCATCACTGGTGACTGTCAGCATCCAGGTCCAAGATGTAAACGATAACCAGCCAGTGTTTGATGCAAGCCCCTACAGAGCCTTCCTGGCTGAGAACATGCCTGCTGGAACCACTGTTATCCAGGTGAGATCAAAACAGTTGTATCAGTTTAGGTAGAGAGGGAGTTTAACCGTGTGAGGCCCTTAGTGGTTCAAGAAAAAGCCTTTTAAAAGCATGTCTTTCATAAACATTGAAAAGAATATTATTAAATTGTCCCAGGTGGTAATATCAAAGCTTCAGCTACTCTTAAATCAGTGCAGTGCACTGTGCTTTATTCATATGAAAATAATCATTTTTTCTGTTTTGGGAGTCAACGAGAAGAATGTACCAATTTAATCTGTGTTCCATACTCTGGCAATTCCATGAACTGTTTATCCTAGCTTAGCTTAGTACAACACTGATGATGCTTTTATACAAATCCACATCTGCATAATTCATAGTTCCATGCTTTATGATCTATATTTAGTACTCATAGAAACAGAAAACAAGTAGTAGAACAAAGTATTAGTCAATCACCCAAAAATCAATCAACTATTTTGAGTATTGATTAGCATTCAGGCAATTTGGAAGCAAAATTGTAAATATCTACTGCTTCCAGCTCCTCAAATATCTGTTTATGCTTTTGGTAGCTTTGATTATTCAGTGATTATCTGTGTTTTTTGACTGCTTGGTTAGATACAACAAGCAGTTTGAAGAAGTTCCTTTGGCTTGTGGACATTATCATGATGTTTGCTTTGCACTGTTTTATAACATTTAAAAAACCAAATTATCAACAGACTAATCAGCATATTCATCAGTAATCTAAATAATCATTAACTGAAACACTATAGTGAGTTCTAGTTCAATGAGCAGTTATCTTACATACTATTTGAAGCCATTCATTGACTTCACTGGCCTACTGACTGTACATCACATGTCATTGCTCTGAACAAAACAAAGACCAGTTTGATGATGTGTCACTCACATGCTTCATAACTAACAAGGTACAAGATTTCTGAAGCTGTTAAAAGGCTGATTACTCTGTTTCCAGCCTTTAGCCCAGGTCAGGTGAAGGTCCTGGACACATGCCGACTGCTAAAACAGTGCATTCACATGACGCTGTTCACACTGTCACTTTTGTAATTATCATTTGCCTCAAACTGGTGGCAAAAGCCTGCTGCTGGGAGTTATGTCAACATAATAAGAACTGATAAATTAGGCTGTTTGCTTGGTGTGACCACAAGGCCAGCTGATGGGGGGAACCATCTTAGAATAATGAATGAATAACAGGATGTTTTCTCATCCACCCCATTTTGTAGACATTGCATGAATGCATCATTTGCTTAGTGTTTAACCTAACTCACCATAGCTTGGACAAGTGCTAATCAGATAAACACTTCCTGAACCAATAGCTTTACTGAGAGCACAGAGTTAAGACAGCAATCAAGTTTATTTCCCAAAATGTCGGTGCATTTCTTTAAAATGCTTCAATTAGGAATAAAGATTGAATACAGTGACCAATCTGTCCCTCAGGTGACCGCTAATGACCCCGACACAGACAGCAACGGTCTTGTGACCTACAGCTTGGAGTTGCTACCTGAGGACAACACAACTGACGTCACCGAGGTGTTCTCCATCGACGCTGAGAGCGGCTGGATCACCACCATGCGGGAGACAGACTGTGAGGTGACCAGGATCTACAGGTTCAGCGTGGTTGCCACTGACCACGGCAGCAACATCAAGCTGTCATCCAGCGTCCTGGTGGAGGTGACGGTGACAGATGAGAACGACAACCCGCCAAAGTTCTCTGAAGACGTGTACCACGGCTCGGTGGTGGAGAACAGCATTTCGGTTGAAGTCATCATCTCCATGACGACCACAGATGCTGATGTGTCACTGGAAAACCGTCTCGTGACGTGTTACATCACAGGTGAGTATTTCTGAATGAGGGATTATGAGTGTGTGGATGTGTGTTTTTCTCATGTGTTTGGGCATTTGTGCAGATAAATGAGTTTGTGTGCATGTGTGAGTCACTCCTGATGATATCTGTGTATTTCGGTGAGAGCGACCACGTGTGTTTATCAGCCAAATTACTGTCCCACTGGAGATTTGCTGCTCTGTGGGATTTATCACAACATTCATGAGGTTAAATGAGATCTGTTCATTTCCCTCACCTGAGTCATGATATTACGTTATGCAGCCACAGCTTGATCACAAGGAGGAGAAGGCTGACAAGGCAGGAATATCAACTGGGTGCCCTGCAGTTAACAAAAAAAAAAAACAAAGCCCAGAACTGATGCAAATCCTCTGTTTTATTCCAGACACATAAACTCGAAGTGTTCTGAAGGAGTTGGCTGTCAGAACATTGATCTTAGAAAGTGTAATGGGAATATTTTCATTTCACTTATTTATAAATAGTGTGGATTGGCTGATGTAGACACTGGATATTAGGGTTGTTCACCACCGGTATGATTAATGTGAGGATTTTACTTATTCCGGAGAGTTCATGCACATCAGAGCAGTTTCACATGACAAGATTCAAAAGCCATTACTGTTTTTTTTTTTTTTTTTTTTTTTTTTTTTTTTTTTTTTTTTTTTTTTTTAGCTGTAGCCAGGATTTTAGCAACACAGAGGTCTGAAGTGTTATGAAACATTTGGCCTGAAGTGCAAGTACCAGCTAAATTTTAGGAAATTATTTGGAACATTTCTGGGAAATTAGAAGGAAAATACAGGAACCCTGGTGTAAAATGTTACCAAACTATTAGTAACTCAGGTCTTTATTACTCCTGCAGATGGGGACCCATTGGGCCAGTTTGCCATCATCCAGGAGGACGAGGGCAAGTGGGGTTTGATTGTGAAGGAACCTCTGGACCGAGAGGCTAAAGACAGATACATGCTCAGAGTCATCGCCACTGACGGGAGGTTTGAGGCTCCAGTCACTTTGGATGTCCACGTACTGGACATCAATGACAACACTCCACTGTGTGAACAGGTGAGGGACTTGATATTCATCAAAAGCATCATGTTGCCTTTAATTGTCCACTAAAGGTGACTCAGTGTCCAACACCAGCTTGTCATACACATTCCCTAACTGAGAGAAGCTAATAGAGTAGTCTTCTTAGCCACTGGGAACAGTTAAGGGAAATTACATTTTACTTCTTTTACAGGTTTCTTTTACACCTTTAAATGCACCAGTAATGTCTTCAGTAAATTAAATCTCCATTTAAAGTAATCATACTAATAATACACCCTGTCTGCTTCTCAGTGCCTATTAAAATCCTCGCCCATAAAGCTTCCATTAGTCTGGAGCCCATTCAAGGTGGCTTATCGTGCCAATTTTTCCACCACACCGTTCTGTAAAAAACAGTACCAAACTGGCATCAGGAGTCAGTGTTGACCCTCCTTTATTCTGCCATGAAAGGTAGTAAAAATTCACAGCCATTCTGCCTTGTCCTTTGTTATGTCAAAGTCAGTTCTGACAGGAAAGTGCACATAATAAAAGAATACACTGGGCATTGTCGTGATTTACTTTATTCCTAGCAAGTAAATATTTGGAACTTTGAGCTTTTTGATATTAATTGAATGAACCCCAACATAAACTGTTTTCATCAGTTATTAAACTTGTATATTTTGTTGAAATTCTGTCTAAAGATCAGTTGCTTCAAAATGTGTCTAACTACAAATTCTGAGCAGTAGACTGGAGTCCAGTGGCTGCCCTACATCAGTTTATTTATCCAGCACTTTAGAGCTATGCTGAGAACAATGCTGTGCAAATAGAGGCCTGATTGTGGTTATTATCCTCCTGCGCCAGCTGGTGTACACAGAGGTGGTGATGGAAAACTCGCCCTCCAGCGTGTTTGTGCTGAAGGTTTCTGCTTCAGACCCAGACATGGGAGCTAACGGCCAGATCTCCTACACCTTGCACGGTCCCAATGCAGACAAGTTCCATCTCGATTCCAGAACAGGTATGATGGTGTGTGATTCAAGTCAGAACCCGAGTGCCCCCTGTAAACGGGTTGCGGTGTTTGAGTGATATCATCAGCCCTGCAGCCGCTCAGAGAGAGAGAGGCTCTGTGGCCTGTTGAGTTTTATGACTGGAAGTGACCTGGGAGTAAGATGCACATAAATCATTACGTGTTGTTAACAACATGTGAATGTGACTTCAGTCTTGTATCCACGTCTCCTCAGGGGAGCTGTTCACTTTGGCTGTGTTGGATCGTGAGAAGGAGGTCGAGTGCAACCTGGTGGTGAAGGCGACGGATGGCGGAGGACGGTCTTGTCATGCAGACATCCTGCTGATGATCCAGGACATGAACGACAACCCGCCTCGCTTCTCCTCCAGCCACTACGAGGTCACTGTGTTTGATAACACAACGGTTAAAACGCCCATTGCTGTCCTATACGCCAAAGACCCAGATGCTGGTGAGTTTTCAGATTATTTCACATTTCAGAATTTTAAATGCTGTGAACAACGCAGTGAGACTGTAGAGAGAATTCTGCTGTTTCTCTCAGGCCAGAACATGCTGGGACAACCCCTAAATCCTGGTATCAGTGATCCTTAATAAAGCCTAATGCACAGGCTTGCCCTTGACTGTGTATGAATGTGGTACTGATCCTGAACATAATAACAGACTAAGCCATTCCTGACAGAGTTTTGCATTTTGAAACACCCACCTGATACCTTTCCTCTGTGTCACTCCCCCTAGGTTGTAACTATTTGCTGCCCAGGGATTTTAACCCTTCATGCTGGCAGCACTGCCATCTTTCTCTGCTCTTCATAGGAAGTTGTGTTGTTTATAATCAGTACTCAGATTCTGACATCCTGTTCAGATGTTTCTTTTATAAGCCTAATGAGTATTGAATGTAAAAGATCATAAATCAATGTGTTTGTCTGCCCTGGGAGAATATGTCCCTAATGTTTTAGGAAATATTTTGAAAGGGAGGTTGATACGTTGACTCTACTATAGTTCATGTGTGTGTCTGTAAAGCCTAACAGTGAACACATATCCCTTCTCATAGAGATTTTCAAAGCTGTTTTGTTTTTTCTTTTTAATAATTGAGATCCTGCATTTTTTACAAACACGTCTGCTTGTAGCTTTCTTCTTCTTCCCTGCTTTTTGCTTTTATGTTTCTGTTTCTTGGCACGTTGCAGCCACCAACTCTCGACTGGTGAAACTTGTGACACCAAGGAACAATCATACTGTTTAGCCTCCTCTCCCCACAGAAAGGCCCTGGCCAGCCAGCAGGTTGTTGTGAGCCAACAGTGCTAACCACTGCACCATCCTGCCACCTATTAGGAAACACTGGGTAAATCCCAATTCTTTCAGTTGTATCCATATTTCCCTCACATGAGACATGTGGTGTCCTTTCCTCTGATCCTTCATCAGAAGCACCCAATCACCAACTGATTTTTGATAAAGAGGCATGTTGCAACTTAAAAGACACATAACAGATTTGGGATTTAACCATTGTCTCCATAGTTTTCAAGATACTATGAAATGTGTTGAAGTATCATGAACAAAATGAAGGAATAACACTTTTATCCTTAGGCTCTGGGAAAAAAGCACCAAGTTGGGAGTACTAAATAAACATTCAGACACAGAGGCTTCAACTTCTCATCTCACATCCTGGATAAAATGACCAAACTCATGAAAGCTCCTAGTTTAGTTCTGTAGCAGTGAACCTCCTAACCAGCATGAATTTGCTTCCTTCTTCTGCTTACTCATTAATTTCTTTCGCGTTTCTTCCATGTTACTCTTTCATGACTTTTTTTTACCCTTCTCCTTCCTGTGATCTGTATAAGCCTCTTGCTTGCCTCATCTTATGTTTTAGAACACCACTTGATCACTGTTCTTTTTAATCACATCACTGTTTTATGTGTTCTGATTGAAGTGAGCTGACACAGTGGTACAAATTTCCCCTGCAGTGTTTGAATTTTTATTCATCTGTTGCCTTTGAGGATTGGTTGGGTTTTGGTTGTATAGTCAGATAAAAGTCAAGCAAAACACTCGTAGAGCTCAGTCAGTGTAGGTGTGCCGTGCTTGATGTGCCGTTCGGAGGATTTTTTTTCCACATACAAATTAGCTTATTTGCACACAAAGGCACACATATTCACACTTGATTAGTCACAGTTCATGCAAGAGGATTGATAAAAATGCATGAAGACCCCCTGAGGTCCAAATATTCTCATATCTTAACAGACACAAACACTGGTAGACACGGGTTTTTGTATGCGCATAAATGGACAAATTCAAACTGGTAGACATTCTCACACACACAGACACACACACATTTGTTGGCCTTACGTAATACATTTCCTAACCCTGCCCCCAACCTTAACCATCACAAATAAATACCTAAACCTAGACTAAACCAGATTCCGCCCGTAACCCTAAAACCAACCTTTAACATTTACCTGATCCTTGAAGGTGTGAGGACCAGCCAGAACGTCCTCACAATGTAGAAATGTAAACTAAAACCTGTCCACACAGACACATTGACAGACATGTTCACGCACACACACACACACATGCAATTTGGGTAGGAAAACAGGAGCAGACAGAACAGGTGAACCACTCCTTCAAATGTGCAGCAGCTTGTCCTCTTTCTCTACACCAGCAACTTTCTCACAGACAACAATGACCAATGAGCTGGGGTTTTCTTGAATATTTTATTTGCCAAAAAATATATTGAAACCTCTTTGACTTCATGAGAAAACAGAGGAAGACACAAACTGGAACTGGTTTTACAAAAAGTAAAGATAAATCAAGATGCACATTCAGCAGATTAAGATAATTAAAAACCCGATAATGTGACTGTGACACACAGAGGTCAGTAGGAAGATGGTTGTTACTATTTTGCAGAATAAAATTTCTTATTTGACATTTTGTCTGTAATGGGCACTTCACAGAGCGCACCAGCAAACATGAGGAAAAAGAAAAAACAGCAATGACAGGATTTAAAATTTTGACCTTTAACTTTGTCACTTAGTTTGAGGAACTTTTAAAATTAATAAAAAGTTGATCTTCCCACAAAGACTTCACAGAATAAAGCTGCCTGAGGTTTTAATGGGGGACCTGTGTGGTTTGTAACCTAGAAGAGTTCTCGCTGCTTCATGCTTTTAATAACAGCTACTTGTCGTAGTGAGAATTTTGGTTTGTGCCACTAAATAGTGAGCAGTTCAGTCACAGGGGGATTTTTATTTGTCAGAGTCCTTCATTTAAATAAGCATCAGCTTCCCAAAGAGGTAAATTATCCTGTAGTTCACTACCCCCCAAAAACACCACATAAACCAATAAGTGCAGTTGTTATTCCAGCCAGTAGTCATGTCAAACAGCCATGGAGGAGCTCTGGGCAGCTAAAAGTCTGAACCAAGCGGCTGCCAGAGTGAAGACGTGGCGTCTTTAGCACAGAGACAGTGGGACAAAGAAAGAGCAACAACCAGGGTTAACATGGGTTTGGCTGTTTGACATGGAGAGGGTTAAAAGCAGCCAGAGGACTCAGACTGGATCCAGATGTGGCCTTCTTCCTACTGGATGTGTTAGCATCTAAAGCTAAGCTGTTTGTTTTGGTAGCATTAGCCACCTAGCATGGTCAGTTAATTCAACCTTTGTGTTGAATTAATGTGATTTTAATTTAGTAGTAATTTGTGTCACATCAACAGTAACCAGAGCGTTCTACTGCACTGACATGTTTACTGTTAGTCAGCTAACACTAGCTTCAGACTAGAGGCTATGTTTTGTACAATTTGTCCCAACCAGGTGGTCATAGTTTGTTGTCACTAGGAAACAGGATGTGATGGGAGGGGCAGAGGGCGGTTAGGAGCAGCTTATGATGTCAGTTTGTTTTGAGTTTTTCTAGACCCTCTGAGCTGGAAAGACGGTAGGTAGAGCAGCTTTAATTACTGTAAAACATCTCAACATACCAATCAGTGTTGATGAGAAAACAGGAAGCCACATGATGGCAGAAGCATCATCTGTTTATGTTTTGCCAAAATCACTTTTCTTAAGCTCAGCAGCAGTGTGTGAAGAGAAATTTCTTTAGCATGTTTAAAGAGCGCTGCATACATTTCCTTGTTAAATGCCAATGATTATTTCAGGTGTCAGTCCAGTTCTCTCAGCTGTTCTTCACGTTTTCATAGCTGAGCTGAAAGTTACTTGTTGTTTTTGTATTTCTTTGTGCTAACCCTTGTGGAAATCCAGATGATGTTGTGGTAACAGTAGCAGTTTCTTGGCTAATATGTTTTTCATTTCAGAGAAAGGAATCCAGGTGTCATGCCACAGCTTGTCTATCAGTGCTGAAATTCAACCCCTTCTCATGTCACATTACTGAAACTAGATATGACAATATGATACATAGTCATTTATCAATCAAATGGAGCGAATTTGTTTTTGTCATTGCTGTTGATCACTATCTACTTTTTAAACACATTTTTAATCAATGAATCACCTGTCTGTGTTCATATGGTCCAGGTATAAATTCTGAGGTGAAGTACTCCCTCCTGGCAGGTGACAGTGGGTACTTCTCTCTGGACGAGTTTTCAGGGATCCTGCGGCTAGAACGGCCTCTGACCCCCGATGCCCCGCCCACCATCAAGCTGAAGATAAAAGCAACTGACCGCGGCTTGCCTTATCACCTATACTCTGTTGCCACGGTGACTGTGGACGTGGTCTCCCTGGATGACTACCAGCCTGTCTTCCTGAGCTCAGAGTATACTGCCCAAATCCCAGAATCCTTAGCAGTCGGGTCAGAGGTGCTGAGCATGTCTGCTCTCACCAGAGATGGAGGGCCAAATCTGGTTGTGTACCGCATCATGTCCGGAAATCAGGATGGGCGGTTCCTGCTTGACTCGAGGACAGGTGAGAACAGTGTTTCACTGTTTTGTTGCACCTTCTGTACAGATTTCGACACCTGTTTCAGGTCACGTCATAAAAACAGTAAATTGTGATTTGTGGTTATATTGGACAAGGGTTACAAGATCACCTGTATATTTCTGTGTCAGAGGGGTGTTTCCAACTGGCTTTTAAACCCTTTCATTATTTATCAGTGAAAGAATTTTTGAAAAATTAGAGGAGCCAGTCAACATTTTGGGACATAAGAAATGTGTTTCTTTCTAAGAGTTATGAGTAAATTATTCAACTTTTTTGTCTGTGAAGAAACATTCACCTCGTAGAAGACTCATGTTAACAGCTTGCAGTCATTCCATCAGATGTTTGACCCATGTAGTACTGCCCATTAAGTATTACTTTATTACACTGAACGACAGAACTATAGAACTGTAACTCTGTTATGGCATAGGCATTTCTCTGTGAGTAACAGGCAGCTGTGGTGGCTTCCCAGGGTCCTGTCATCACTGTGAGCTTGCCAGGTTCTTAAAACACTGCACAGAAGTCCTGGCAGATGGATGGATAAACAGCAAACTACTCTCTCTATAACTGTCAACTGTTGTTTTTGTAAACATCTCAAGCAAACAAGACATCACATGTTTATTAGAGAACCTTAGAGGGTAGTTCCAGGTTAGCTTCAACTCTTCACGCTAAAGTAAGCTAACCACATCAGAGCTCCAGCCACATACTGTGCAGAGAGGGGCATCTGCTAATCACACTCTCAGCAGAAAAGCAAATACTGAACTGTTTCGTTAACTCAGTCTCCCTTTGTTTAGGCAATACAGTAGAAAAACAGACGAGTCTGAAATAGAAATTCATATTAAAAATCACTGCACCTTTGAGCATATATTTGTTGCCGGTACAATGGGAAGTGTTTGCTGTTGAAAAGCAGCCAGTTTACTCAGCATTGCTGTCACTATGTAATTAGTTTTGTCTTTACATGAATAATAATGGTAAGATTTTGTACATATAGATATGCAACACGTTTAACATTCCTAACACCATGAAACACTTTGTGCAAAGCTATAAATGATGTTTTGTCACATAATTAGAGGAGTAAATGGTTTTCTTAGCCAAACTTGTTCTTGCCATATATGTCTTATCATTATTCAGTGTTATGATTTTTTTTCATGTTCTTCTATCAATCCTTTGTGTTATTAAAGTTTTTTGTTTTATTATTTTTACTAAAAGTTGAAGTTAGAGAAGTGGTCCTGCCAAGTTTCATAAGCTCCGTCCCCTGCTGGGTTTAACAATTTGGGGAGTGAACTGCAACCCCCAGCCACCTGTCAAATAAATCTTTAAAGGCCAGGAGAGCTGCACTCATTGATTTATTTATTGCGATGAGTTTCCTTATTTGAAGAGAGAAACATGACGATTAGAATCTCAAACCCAAGGTTTGGTAGGAATACATTAATATTGGCCAGGTTATTGAGATTTTGAATGTTTAGTGGGAAAATGTACGTTTACTCATGAGACAAGTTCAACTAGATCTTCAAAACATGTTATTGGTAGTGAAATGGCTTGTCTGATGGCATGAATAAGTTGTGAAGGCAGCGTTCTGTTGTTGTTTGGGTCTGTTCAGAAACCAACTCATGTGGCTGTTAAAGGGCTGAGTTTGGTGCTGACTCTGAGGGATTTATTAAAGGTGAGAAATTATAGATTTACTGTGGTTGAGTCGTAACAGGGTGGGGAGAAGTTGGAGGAGGAGGGCAGTAACCTCTGGCCACTTGGTTCTGTTCCTCTCATTGTGTAGCTGGTACTGATCAATACATCCCTGGATGAGCCTTGCACACACACTGTGTGTTTTCTTTTTGTTTACTCTCAGTACATAGACAGAAAACGGAACCGCTAACTCAGGTGTGCAGGGGTTTAAACCTGTATCCTCAGAGTTTGCTTCTGATTTAGGGATCAAAATAACCCAGTTTGCATCACTGTCCAGTACCTGCTCACATTCACACCAGTTCTATCAACCAGTCTGAGCTGCCAAACCTGCATTTGTGTACGGACATGTAAGTGGTGCTAATGAAAACTCACAGAGGGCCCAGGATCACCAGCTGATGACTACACACTAGTGCCTTAGAAATCTGTTCAAGGCCATGAGCCATGTTTCAGAGTGATCGGTCTCAGTACTGTTGTGTAGTACACCTGTTGTTTACCTGGTTATCTGTGTCAAACCTTCCCAAAACCTCTGATAAATATAGTCACCAGAAAAAGTCATGGCACTGTCCAGAGACGAATCCATGTGAACAGCAAAGTGTGAATGAGATGTGAGCTGCTGAGAGAAAGGAGAAGCCAGAGCTCAGCCAACTGTCTCCCAGTAGACTGAAGTAAAAACATACATAACACTGTTTGGATCACTGACTCAGGCTGGATATTTAAAGTTGGATAGAAAAGTTGGTGGATATTAAAAGACTCTGGGCTTGACTTTCCTGAAACAGGAGGCAAACGCACGTCTAAACTAACAGGCAAAGGTGCAAATTGGTGTGTCTAACAATTTTGGTGACCACTGGGCACAGCCAGGCGCAAAGACACCGAGTACATTATTAGTGAGACGAACGCATAATGAGCAGGTGGAGTCAGGCAGGGTTTAGTCATGGCCAGTAAACTGCTCCTCTCATTCCCTGTACATTTGCATTCAAATAAAACCCTAAAGTCACAATAAATACTGTTAAATGCTCAATAATAATAATAAAACAATCCCCCAACCTACAGTAGATGCTGGTTCTCTACTCAGCCCCATTAAAAAGTGGTTTTAAAAAATTGCTCTAGGCTAAATTGTTACCACTCTTGGTTCTTATGTAGAATCTTTTTTCCTTTTCTGAATTTCTGCATCTTCCCCGCCTTTTCAGGAAGAATAATCTTGTCTTTATCCTGTGGTCTTGCAGGCCTTCTGAACCTCATTGCGCCACTGGATTTTGAAGTTTCCCGGGAGTACTACCTGTCTGTGGAGGGGAGTCGCGGCAAGTCGTCCCTCAGCGACATCACCACGGTTATCATCAATGTGACTGATGTGAACGACAATACGCCGGTGTTTGGACGAGGCGACTACAGCGCTGACATATCAGAGGATCTGATGCCCGGAAGCCTGGTGATGAAGGTAGCGATCAGGAAACGGACATAACATACATAACAGAAATGATCCATTTGTTGGGAAGTGAACAGGGATGTAATGTACACAAAACTTATCTCTGTTTTTTATTGAGCCCAAAAGTGTTTAAAAGAGATGAAACTATCTGCCACTGATGATCACTATGTACAACCTGTTTCAAGAGTTCTCTGGTGATACATGCCAATGTCTTAAAACAAGACGAAATATCAATATATTACAATTCTAGAGAGTTCTTGAAACAAAATTCACATTGTAGCTACATTAAAATCAGGCCAAGCCTAAACAAAGCTAATATCAAAGCTAATAAAGCTTTTTGTTAAATAAAGTGGCTGAGTCTAAAAACACACTAGTATTGTTATGTTATACATACTTATGTTAAATCAAGACGATCACACAAGCTTTCAGTTTTGTCAAATCTAGTGACAGAGGCAAGCTGATAGTTTTGTCAAATTCTAGGATAAATAAATATTTTACTTGCCTTCAAATCAAGGCTAAAACAGGCAACAATGACATATTGTTGTCCAATCATTCACAGCAAAGGCTCAAACAATCTAATGTTATAGTCTGATTAAAAATTAGGCTAATTTTAAAGCTGAAACAAGCTCATCTCTAATAATATAAACCAGAATCTCTGAACAGAATTAACTAAACACTCTTAATCCTGCAATCAGGTTAAAAATGAGGCTGAAAGGAGCTGACACGTGTGCTCAAACCATAGCTAAAACAGGCTAATATGCATAACTCTTCCCTAATTTGTGTTTATTTTCCAGAAACAGGTTCAGGAATAAAGATGGCATTTCAGTGACAATAAAAAGTCATCTTGTGTTTCTTTCATTATCATTTTATCATCATCAGTACAGTGTGTCTGACCTCTGACATCCCTCACAAGAGAAAAGGAAATGTCTTGACATGAAGTGCTCTTCCTCTTTTCACCACTACCTCCAGGTCACAGCTACTGATCAGGATGGTCCAATCAATAATCTGCTGCGATACTCCATAGTGAGCGGAGACCCTCTACAGCAGTTCTTTATTCATCCTCGCAGTGGAGAAATCACTGTCCAGACTGTGCTGGACAGAGAGGAGGTCAGTGGCTGTGACGAATAAATAAAAAAAACACAAAAAAGTTCATTCACACATTCACTTCATACATTTATTCATGTCCCACCAAACCAGCTACACATTCCAGAAAGAGAATTTCAGACCCACGCAGTTGGTCTGCCGCTCTATAAGCAGAACAGTAGCTGTTCTAATGAAAGTATTAAGCTTTTTGCCTGTTGCTGCATGAGCCAGTTGTGTGTATTTACTGTCTGTGTGATTGTATGGATTTATGTCACATTTACAAGTTAGAGAAAAGATAAAAAGGACCGTAAAAACATACCAGCAGTATGTTGGTGTTATTATCCTTACTCTGTTACACACCACTTACAGTATTTCTGCAGAAACACAATAGTGCATGTTTCCATACATCTTGCAGTAATTCAGTCATTAAAGCATCACCAGTCATGCATTAGTTAACATTACTTAAGTATATGATTTGTACCTTTATTGTAAAATGTTACCAGAGGTTACAACTAGTTCTGCCTCTCTCCCTCTCCAGATTCCTCACTACTCTCTGACAGTGCAGGCGGCCGATGAAGGCGATCCTCCTCTGTCATCGGCCGTTCTCATCACCATCACCGTTGCTGATGTGAATGATAACCCGCCCGTGTTCTCTGAGGTCAACCACAGTCTGCTGCTGCAGGTAGGGCTACCTGAATGTGTATATGCTTACAGGTCAGACCCCTACAGCCACAGGAATATGTTTCAGGCAGGGACGGGGCCTGGCATTACAGGTATTCTCTAATATTACTCTGATATTACTATAACATCACATCAGTGCCAGCATGTAAATAATAATCAAAAAGCTAAGACCTGTACTTTAATAATCACAGCCTCAGTAATGAACAGGTGTAACACCCACAAAGTCATGACAAAACAACCTAGGTATCACAATGACAGCAGTATCACAAGCACCATGTCACTGCCATAGCTACATGTCACACAGTGAACCCAGGACTGTTGCAAAATATGACAAAACAGAAGCAGATCCTTAAGAAAAAGATCTTTCAAGAGTGGACATTTGGAATATTAGTGCTACTTTATTACTAAACTAGGCTAGGCTACACATTCCCTGATTTGCCTCCATCACTTTGAACATCTCTGTAAACCTGACAACAGTCATGCTGCTTAAATTTGGGATAAAGAGGTCACATGAAATGTGTCAGAATCCATCTATCATCTATACCGCTTATTTGTGAATATGGTCAAGCTGCATGTCTTTGGACTGTGGGAGGAAGCTGGGGTACCTGGAGAGAACCCCCACAGGGAGAACATGTAGACTCCACACAGAAAGGCCACGGGTCGGCCAGGGCTCAAACCTGGAACCTTCTTGCTGTGAGGTGACAGCACTAACCACTGCGCCACCATGCCGCCCATTGTGTCAAAATAAAAAAATAAAAAATATAATTGATAAGCTTTTATACACTGAAGGATGGGGGCTCAGTGCACCCCTCCCCACTTCTTCCCACAGCTATGTCTACATCCATTTCAGCGTTCGCATCAGGTTGTGTGTGGCGGTTAGTGTTTTGAATGCTGAAGTGAGCTAATATTTTTCTGTCCCACACACTGATAGCATCTTGTCAAGCCAGAGAGTGTAACACAATTGCTCCATGGACCGGCACATCCTGTCAACTACTTCTGCCCGAAAGACTGATGATGAATGATGCACACAGTTGATTTACCCCCATCAGGGTGTGAGTCTGCTCAGCAGGATGGATGTGTTAACACGGTGCTACAGCCCACACACTTTATTTACAAAATCTGAACATGTATTTTTTCTGAGAGCCCACATTTAAAAAAAAACGTTCATCCTGTGTGAGTCAAAAGCCTTGAAAGGGTGGGTGGTTGGAAACAAATCAGTCATTGAGCCATCCTTTAATGTGTGCCGCCTGGTGATTTTTGATCCGACACCTGCAGGAAGCCGTAGACGGGTCTTTGCAGTGTGTCCTAACATCTTTGACTCAGTGTTCAGACACCAATCCTGTTCGCAGCCTGGGGCGGTTAGAAACTACCGGCACTACGCGGCCGACAGTAGAAGGAAACACTGACCTCGCACAAGCTAGTGAAGCAACAAACAGTCAACAAGCAGTGTGTAAAAAAATTACCCAGAATGCCATGGAAAGAATTTCTTGCTCTCAGCTCCAGTGTCCCCAGGAGAAGTAATATGCGCATTCATGTGTGAAATCTGATGACTCGGTAGAATAGTCTGAACAGGGGAACTTCTAGTTACACACCACATTTCACATGAATATGCAAAAAGCCACTTTGTCGATTCACCTTAATGCAGCGAAGTCATCCTCGAGTCAGGGACTGCCCACCTTTACCTGCTCTAGTCCTGACTGCACCGAGGAGCTGATGAGGACAGGCAAAATAATGACTAGAGATACTTAAAGACAAACCACTAAAGGTCATTCTCTGTTAACCAGTCTGTGTCTCTGTATCGTTAGAGCTGCCTCTTTCTCCTCCTGCACTCTTATGGAAATCTGGTGACCTGTAAGTGCTGCTCCATCATAACTGTGGCACTCACAGCTCATTAAAACTGTGCTGAGCTCAGGAGTGAAGCTTTTCAGAGGCAAAGCCAGCGTGGGGTTTCTGAACTTTGTGGGGATCAAAACAACAGCAGCTGTCATGATTCGTTGCTCGGCGTGTTGCTTGCAAGACATGAGTGAAACCCTTTCACCTAAAACCCCTAATTACACGGCCAAGTCTGCAAGTGTGGAATTTACCCCCCGTGTGTGTGAGAAAGCCTGCATCGCTGCATGCCTCAGTGTTGTTTAAGTGTTGCTCACTGACAGTTAAGGTTTTTCTGCCAGCTCTCCATCAGTCAGCCGGCTCTGAAACTCCCATCCAGTCACAGACTAGCTTGTTCTCAAGCCAAAATGCTGACACTGTGGTGATCAATCTCTGCGATACCATCCCACTGTCTCCACAGCCCAATGAAGAAAAATTGCATTTAGCAGCTGCATGCTGCTGAAAAGGAATTGTCTTTTTTTTTTTTGCATGTGTTGTGGGTCATTGGTGGTGAAGTGTTAGGCCGCAGTTGGATTTAACTACTTCAATAGAAGCAGCGATAATAGGTAATTTTCTAAATATACATTTCATTTGTGATGGTTTTTACAATTTTAACAGACACAATTTATAATGTTTCAGAAAGGATGTGGGAGCACTGTAGTGATAAGTCACATGGCATTTGTGGCGATGAACTGTACTTCCTGACGCTTGTCTTTGCTTTTGATGTTGTATAAGATGATGTATGGGTGGATGGCGGCCAGACAGTCTTGTTCTACCTACTCTGATGAGGCTGTTTACCAGAACAGGATTGTGCTTTGTGATGCGTGCTTTTATTGCAATTTGAAAAACCACACGTAGGAATTTCATGTTTTAGCCCATTAACTCAAAATTGGGTGCACCTTATTCCCACCTGTCCCCCAGACGTTTTCCAGATTGATACCCTGGGCTCCAGAGAGCCACTGGATTCTATTAATTTTATGAGCGTCAACAGGCAGAGCCCCTTAACTTGCCTGAGATAGATAATCCATCACGGTGACTGGTTAAAGGTCCTAATAATTCTTTGGTCAAACTTAGTGGTCCATTTATTTCATAGTCAGCTGGCTTAAAGTATGGCGGTTAGGAGGAATGATAATAAAAAGACAATTCAGAGGACAAACAATATGCAAACGTGCACAGTGTGATAAGAATAATGGATGTGTGTGTTCAGGAGACTGCTGAACACAACGCACCAGTAGTGAGGAAACAAATTAATAAAGCTCGTCTCGTGCAGGAGGCCGAGTCGGTCGGCAGCACCATCCTCCAGCTCGTGGTGACAGACAAAGACACGCCCAAGAATGGCCCGCCTTTCTCCTTCCACATCGTCAGCGGCAACGAGGATCACCGTTTCCATGTCGACCAAGGCGGCCTGCTGTCACTCTCTGCTCCACTCAGGAAGAAGGTCACTCCCCACCATCAGCTCAAGATTCAGGTCAGGACATGTTCCCTGACACTGACTCGTATACCAGCTCCTAGTTTGCTCTCCTGAATCCCTACATGCTCACCTGTCTTCTACTCTGCCTTTTAATGTTTTATTAGTAAGTGTCTGTCCAACAGTTTGACTCAGTGGCAGAAAAAGACCTTCTGTTTCTCACATGAGGTTCTTTGAGTCGTCATCTGAATCTTATGACTCACGATGGGATAGGATAGCATTTTATCACATATGAATCCAGCTCCAAATCCACTTATAGATCTGAGTCTTTTCAAATCTGATTAAGAGGTTTATTAGTTAAAAAATAGACCTTTTCCACAGCAGACATTTTGACTCATAGTAGGTGTAAAATATACTGTATATCCACACCCAGAGCATTTAGAGGCTCGTTGGACACAAACAGTCAACATGCTCAGTATAGTAGTAAAAATGATTCAATAAACGACATTATTTCCTTTATATATTGTATATGCATATATCCATCAGTTGAATTTTAGTCTTTCTTAGACTCTTCTAAATTTTAGATGAAGTGCCTAAAATATACAGCCTTGTACTAGAACAAAGCAAAGATTGGCTTTATTTCCTACTCTCCTGATCATTTAGTGCAGTGGTTCCCATAATGGGGAACTGGACCCCCACAGGGGGCTGCACCAGAAGCATGAGGGGTCACGAGATGGTTAAGACAAGAAAGCAGAAAAAACATCTGGATCTGCAGAATCTGCACCACAGAATTTTGTCCTTTCGCTTTAAAGTGTCACCAGCCAGAAAGGTAAAGAACCACTGGCTTTAACAAATCACTTGTGATTTGTAGTAAAAGGCAAATGAAGGTCTGATAGAGTGTTGGTCTAAACCATGTGTTATCGTTGTGTAACCACTGACTGTGCTCCATTCAGGTGACAGACAGTGGCCACCCTCCCCTCTCCTCCATCTGTGTGGTCAACATCAACGTCACTGAGCAGAGCAAGTACCCTCCCTCTGTTGTGCCTCTGGAGGTCTTCATCACTACATCTGGAGGGTTGTTTGCCAACCGGGTCATCGGCAAACTCCACGCCTCAGACCAGGACCTGCAGGACACCCTGACCTATAAGCTGGTGTCAGAAATCCCAGACGGAGGAAGGTTTTCTGTCGACCAGGCTGATGGTAAGATCTGGGCAGAGGAGAACCTGGAGGAGGGCTCTTACTTGCTCAATGTCAGTGTGACTGATGGGAAGTTCAACATCTGGACCGGGGTCAAAGTTCATGTGTGGGCAGCCGACCAGAGAGCACTGGACTCTGGCCTGACCCTGCAGCTGGTTGGGTTATCACCGGAGGAGTTTCTGGGCGATCACTGGAGAGGCCTCCAGCGCAGCCTGGGACAGGCTCTGGGTTTGCCCAGACAAGAGCTTCACCTGGCCAGCCTGCAGCAGCAACAGGACGCCCAGGTCCTGGACGCCCTGCTCATCTGGAGGCCTCAGACCGGACTTGTCCGCTCTATACCAACCAGCAGACTTGCAGGTGAGCAAACATCATTACTGAGCTATTTAAATAAGCTGCCACATTGTGAGTCATTGTAATGACTTGTAAGTGGACTGCAGTTAGACCAGCTGAGACCCAGAACACACCAGTAATGACCTATTAATGGAAAGATAAGAGCAAATCATATCGAAGACGGGCTGAAATACTCAGTGCTGAATATCAGGTACATTTCTTCAGGAGAAGACAGAAAAATGTTGGCAGCCATTTATTTTGACACAAAGAATGAAGACGAGTGTTTTGAATGTTTAACTCTAAAATGATTAACTCTTCGATGTAGGTATTATATCAGACCTCGAGGACTCTTTGGGCCTGAGCATCCTGAGGGTGAGCCACAACGGATGTCTGGGTAGCGGCTGTCCGCCCCGAGGCTGCAGGAACGCCGTCCGACTGAGTGCAGAGAGACTGGCCCATTTCACCACCGCCAGAGCTGCTTACATCACCCCCCAGCACACCTGGGAGAGCGTCTGCCCCTGTAACGGTACATCTGTCTGCATGTGCCTGAGCGTCAGAGAGGGATGATTGATTATCGATGTGTGAGTGCATGAACCAGGGATGAGGCAGCTGCCTTTCATCAGCAGACGACAGGTTCACAAACACACAGCTCATCACCATCTCTGCTGAAGAGCTGCTCCAACAAGTGACCGATTCAAAACTGCAGTGCCGAGTCTTTTTGTCCAACTCTGAACGTCCACACAGAGAAGCAAATGCACACTGCTGTTTGTTTTGACACGGTGTAAAGATCCTATTATATCCTATGTACATATAAAGGAACTATAGAAGATATACAGTAAATCAGAATTAAAAGAACAGCTAGGAGAGGAGACCTGCCCAATCTGCAGTTTATTAAAATCTTTTGCAGCTGTAAGTTTATTTACATTTACTTTGTGGAACAGCAGCACACTCAAAAATTAGTTTTTCATATCTATGGTGATTGTTAAAGTAACACATACTGTACATACTGGCAACCACAGTGGGATCTGTGTACGTCAAGTGTATTTGTAACACTTGAGTTCGAGCCCAACTAAAAACAGTTGTCGGGCTCTTCAAAGTCTGATGCTGGTGTGCGCTGCTTGTCGACTGTTTTGGGTCTGTGATGGTTTATCTAATCTTCTGATTTGTATATTTTAATGAAACTCATTTTAAGCTAGATCTAGAGTATGTATAAGAGTGAAAATGCCTCCGCTCCAGATTTAATCTGTCTAGTGATCAAAAGGCCAAAACACCGAAGGGTCAATGACTTGTGGAGCAACAAGTGGTTAACTGTGTAGTTCCTACCCACAGAGCAACTTGGGGTCAGAACAGTAGAAGATCAGTAAATATCATGTGGTAACGTGACCCTCAGGAGCAGAAGAAGAAAACCAGCTGAAAATGAACATCAGCCTTGACTGTGAATTCCCTTCAGCTCTGCAGGACTTTCCCAGTATAACGAACCATCAGTCGGTTCAGATTACATTGTGGCTGTTTTAGAAGATATCTGTCTCTGCCAGAGATCAGACAGCCTCCATCTTACCTGTTGAGACCTAGAGAACTAGTGGAATAAATCCCCAGACTTCATGAAAGAAACAGCATGTGCGGTGTGAGTGTGGGCCCAGCGATAGCTTCACTTACAGCTGGCAGAACATCTAAACCACTGAGCAGCGGCACCACGTCGCCTGATCATCCTCACTGATTGGATCTGGCATCTCTCTGAAGATTGGCACCGTGACGATAGAATGAAAGTCAACTAGGGGTTCTCCAGGATGTGGACTCAAGACCAGCCTGTACGGAGTCCCTGTCCTTCGATCCCTCTTTGGTCTTAAGAGATTCTGAGGTTTGGGGAAAAAGGCTTTATCACAGTGAAAACAGGTTAATAAAAATGTATAATGAACCTAAATACATTCACTGAATAAATCACTTCAATTAACATTTTCTAAATGACAGAAAACAGAGGTTTTAGCGCTAAAGCCAGCAGCTGATAAATCAATTAGAATCTGAATAAAGAAACCTCACTTGCCCCTCACCAGGTAATGGAAGATTGTCTTAACCGACTGGAGGAAAGAGACTCGCGCTCATGTTGGATCATCAGTCGCCAGGCCTGGCTGCCTGTCTTGAAGCTTGTTAGCAGTAGCTGCTGAAAAACCTTCCCGCAGGCATCAATAGTTTCATCTCTGAATCACTAAAAGTCTCGTCCGTGCACCACACTGCACTACCATTGATCCGTCCATTGATGAATTCTCTCGCCCTTCATTCAAGCCTTCCTCCTGTTTCTCCTGTTAAACTTATAGGACTCGTGTCAGACGCTTCACTGGTTACTATGTTTAAAATTTCTGTTTATAAGCTTTTTTCTTTGCAGCCTTTTCTGTCAGACTTGAGATCACATGTTCGGTGTACAGCCTCAGCTGTCACACATGGTGCAGAGTGGAGGTGGAACCAGTGCTGATTAGTGATGTGAAAAGGGTTCATTTAGTTTATTCTGGTTTTCTTGAAAGCTCAGTCAACAGTTTGTTTTGTAAAGGTTTACCAGCCTGCAAGTTCTTAAAAGGAAGACTTAAATACAAGAGTGGACTTACACAGAATGACCTGAGATTCATTCTTCACTCATTCATCGTACAGTACTTGTTGTTGTTGCCATTGTTTCATTAGTGTTTTGGAAACGTAAATGTCAGATTTTGCCTTTCATTCAGGCACTGATGTGCTGGAGCCTTGTCCCTCCACATTCTGTCACAACTCTTTCATTTTTAATTGGACAGTTTATCTGCTGCACACTGGAAAGTAGTTTTGTATAACAAAGAGTTTTGTTAAAAATATACAAAGCAGACTGACCTGGCAGGTAGTACAGGAAAGACCTTTAACTTTGTAGACTTTCAGTTCAAACCAGAGATTTTGAGTCAGTGACTGCTTCACTGAATCAGTACAGCTGAGAGATGTGTTGTTTCCTCATTGTGAGTCGGTCTGTCTGCTCACTGTCGGTTGTTTTCATGTTTCTGTGTCTCAGAATCCGCCGTGAGGTTCGATGGCAAGTCCTACCTGAAGTACCTTCACAGGATGGACGAGGACAACCAGGACTTCAAACTGTCACTGTGGTTCAAGACCTTGCAGAAGCAGGGCCTCCTCATGTCCACCAGCAGCACCAACGACTGGGGAGCGTTACAGGTACCTCTGTCTCTGGAGCTACGTTTAAAGACAGGATGTATTTTGAACCATTTATGGTAGATGGACTCTTCTTCTTTTTCCTGAATAAACAGATGCAGCTCTTTGTGTGTGTCCCAGTAGTTCTGCCTGTTAAAGGTGATACTGTCGTTCTGTATAACACTGTACAATAAAACTGATGTGGTGTTATTGATAGAGATCACTAGTCTTCTCAGTTTGACAAATAACCTAAAATTAAAATTCTAACATAATGGTTCCTTGACTTCCCGGGCCCCCCCACTGTTCTAGAAATTCCTGATTAAAATAAAGAAAGGAACGAACAACAGTTAAGAAGAACTGTTTAGAAGCTTGTACAGCGCTGATCAGACTGTTTACTGACAGACTCTCTTCCTTCGTCAGCTGATCAGTGGAGGGCTACAGTTCAGCTACAGCTGTGGAAACACCTCCCCTGGTTCCTTACTCATCAGATCTGACTCCGTATCAGACGGCCAGTGGCACAAAGTCCTGCTGGAGGTCAACTCCACTGCCCTGAGACTGACCCTGGATCAACAGCACCCGGCCTCAACCACCCTGACCGAGCCGTGCCGGATGATGCACTCCCACGGTGCTTTGTTCTTTGCTTCTCTCAACCAGGACTCTGCTCCAGAGGCTTTTGGCAGCCTGCATAATTTCACCGGCTGCCTAGAGGGCCTGGAGCTCAGTGGGGAGCCCATCGCAGTGGGTGATGCAACGGAGTGGACCAGGCCTGGGAGCAGGAGGGTGTTTGGAGAGTACCAGTGCTGCAGCAGGGCAGGAGCCTGCCACAACAACCCCTGTCTGAACAGCGGGGTGTGTGAGGAGGACGCTGCCGGAGGTGAGTGCATGAAACATGACCTACATGTTCAGCTAAATCCCTGCAAATCATTAATATCTGATTGTTTGTTTTTAAATTTGTTTTGTTTACACGTGATAAAATAGAAAATGATGTTTCCTATCATAAAACATTTCCTTCAAGCTGCAGTTCACCCTCATTCAGAGACAAGTCATGAAAGCTTAGTTTGGCCTGAAGCCCTTTTCCAAACCTCAGCCCTGTGAGTCACATGGTTATTAGCAGAAGACAGTTCCTGAAACACAAAATCTTGACATGTCGGTTTGTTGTATTCATTTTCTGGCAGCTTGATTTATTCTTTACACAGAAAAGCTGTTGAAAAGCACATCTGTGATTTTGCAGATAAGAGTAGGAGCTTTAATATTATTCTGACAAGTCTCAGTGAGAGTGTGGTACAGAGTGCAGCCAATATGTTGGTCTTCTTCTAGGGAGGGGGATATTAAACCAAACACAGGATGGAGCAGATGGAGACCTGCAGAAGAACAGTGTAAACAAACAAACCCCATAGCTGTAACCGAAGACCTGTTGCTGTTTCTTTACTGGTGGTTTACCTGTTAGGTTGTTGAACTGCATCATTTATTATTCACCTCCAGTGCAATAAGAAAAGGTCCATCGTGGACACAGGACACAAGGTTTCTCTCAGGACTGCATTCATCATGTCAAATTACATTTCAGCTTCTTTAGGTACAGATTCTAGGGTGTGACGCTGAACAACAAATGCATAGTACTTCCCCCAGGCAGCAAACACAATGGTGGCTCGGGATGTTTTCTTTTTCCTGCACAATTTAAAGTTTTACTGAGGCTTCAGTTTTGTTGCTTTCTGAGACAGTGACAAGAATGTGAAGGTGAAAATGATGAGATGTAACTTCTTAGACCAGTTTAGTTCTTAGTTCAATGTCTTAAAAATGCAGACCTGCCAAACAAACAACCAACTTAATTCAGTTTTATTTGTACAACACCAAATCACACCAACAAGTAATCTCAAGGTGCTTAACACAGTGAGGTTGAGACCAGGGATTCTACTGTTTCCTTGGGTAGAAGAAACAACAAGCGTGTTGTCTTAAACAGTGTCGGAGCTCTTTTAGGGCTGATGTTCAACCAGAAATATCAAAGCTACTTCCATGTTCTCTGCATGGATCAGCTTGACCTTGATTATTTGCTGCCTGTAGGGGAGACTTGCTGTGGCGTTGATCTGTCGCTCTCGTCTTAAACGTCTGGGTGTGTTTTATTTACTTTGCAGAGCCGCGCTGCACATGCACAGGACTCTTCCACGGCGCCCGCTGCGAACTGGCCGAGAAGGCCGACAACCCGTGTGCCTCCCAGCCATGTGCCCCGGGCAGGGTGTGTGTGCCCAAGGCTCAAGGATTCATGTGCAACTGCTCGCTGGACACTGAAGCAGGGTAAACACACTTTTTAAAAAATCTGTATTTTAATTTAATATATTCTTTAATCACAGTAATGTGTCTGGTGTTGAACAAGTGTTGTGCTGTTCTTCCTTCAGAGTTTCCCCAGGTTTTACTGTTCAGTCTTGATCAAAACACTGTTTCACAGCAATGGGTTGTTTTGACAGTAAAATAACAAAGCTGGTAATGTGCTATCATTGTTTGATTTTTTTCCTTAAGCCTTTGTAAAGTAAATGATTTAACTGAAGAGTTAATAGATTCATGAATTAAAATATTGACAGAGAACTAATCAGCACTAACTTTAGCCACTTAACCCAGTAGTTTTTTCTCTTTTAACAAAAATACTACAGATTCACTGGTTACAGGTTGTGTTTCCCCACTGTGGGACTAATAAATGTTTGTCTTATCTTAGTAAGAGTAGAGTAACCAGCGATGAAGGTTATTAGCTGTAGCCGTATCGGTCCCACATGTACTGTGGTCCAACAGACCCCATCATCAGTAATTAGACACATCGAGTTAGCGCAGCACAATCCTCATTATTCGCAGCATCACTTGCACTCAGGTACATGCTTGTATTCCTAAAAACATACATGGCCTTGACTTTCCATGAATATGTGATAAAATGCACACACATTTGCTTTTATTCCACTCTCACCAGAGAGGATCTGCTTCAGACTAATCGAATAGCTGAAAAAATAACTTGCAGATTAATCAATAACAAAAAATAGTTGCAGCCATAGAAAAGCACTGTTTTTGCTTTCAGCTGAAGGAAAGCTTCATTTTTAATCTGCTACCCTCAGGCTTTAAAAAAATTAAAAATCAAAACCTAAGAAATTCTTCTTGACTCATGGTCTTGATTATACATCAAATTACAGAAGCCACTGAGAAGCAGTAACAAATATTTGAGTATAAAAATATGACAATTTCCAGCAGTGTCTGACCAGGTGCTGAAGAATCCTAACTCCAACTCCCTGTGCTCCTGTAGGTGCCACAGTCGGACAGATGACTGTTCACCCAATCCCTGCTCTGAAGGCTTGGACTGTAAAGTCATTGACGGCTCCATCCACTGTGACCCGCTGCCTCAGGTTTGCTCAAAGTATCATAAAAGTTTTATCTTGGGAGACAGTGTTGAGGGACATGACATTTGCTTATCATGTGTCGTGTCTGTCCAGAAGGTACCTCCGATCGGCTACGTGGAGATCATGGAGATCGCTGCCAGCATGCTTGGATTACTCTTCTTGGTCGGCATCTTCGTTTGCGTCAGGAAACGTTACATTCAGCAAAAGAAGAAAAGGCCAGTCTGTGTCCAGGACTCAAACGGGTAAGAGCAGTTTTGTGTCTTCAACATATTTCAGTAGTCCAGGCTACATGCTGTGGGGAAAAAGAAATAGAGATATACTGTAATGCTTTTTCTCACTCTGCTAAAATCAGCTCTACTCTGTGTTAAAACTAGGCTTGGGTGGTATCTATGTTTTCATACCTTAATACCTTCCCAACATGTCACCAGGGCCCAGAATTGTTACCCCTCTTTGAGTGGATCAGAGTCAATCATATATCGTATATATACATACACACACACAGGTTTTGGATCACTCTGATGTCCAGGTGGATCAGAAAATCAAATCCAAGCTTTAATCCAGATCAAATCAAATGGCAGTGAGAAAAAGCAGCATGTTTTGACAATACTGAAAATCTCTGGCATTTCTAAAAACTGTGGTATATCATAATACTGCCCAAGCTTAGTTCAAACTCTGTTCCACAGTTTCCACTGCCACACACTGTTAAAACAGCTTGGCAGGACAAATATCATTGTCTTGCAGCCTTACTGACTTCCTCCACATAGTTGCAAAGCCTTTGTACATCCAGCAGAAAGCTAAGGGGGAGTGTCTGACCACAGAAAGAAACAGGAGGATCGCTTGCTGCAGAAACAGAATGTCTTCTAAAATCCAAGGGTGAAGTTGCACAGGGATGACAATAGGGACACACTCTCAGAAAGATGTTTTACTTCTCTGCCTCCCAGTTTTTTCCCTACTCCTCTCCAACACCCTGAAACGCCTAACCGGCTAGTTAAGGAGGCAGGAATTCAGTACTTACTCCACAAAGACAAGCGTCTAATGGAAATCATCTCTCTTTTCACACATGCAGCTATTCACAGCCCAGTGCGGCCAAGGGCCTGAAAGCCAACAACCGTGAAGCCATGCCCATAGAGATGAGCTCTCTGGGCAGTCTGACCAACGACCTTGACCACACGCCGTTCAGGTCACTTCGCCCACGCAGCCAGATCACTTTGTCAGGAGGCGGGGTTTGCTCTCCAAAGACACAGGGGCCAGTTGTGTGCAGCGTGGCCCCCAACCCCCCTCCCAGGCCGCCATCCACCTCCGACAGCGGCTCCATCAGGAAGAACCACTGGGACATGAACTATGAAGGTGAGTGTTTGTTTAACTACAGCTGGTTTAACTATGTGAGATGATGGCCTTTGTCTTCTGTCACCACCATGACTGCTGAGCTGGTGACAGTGTTCAGTCACAGGGCCCTGTGACTGTCAGCCATCATTAAGTAGTTTATGGCTGTCAAATGGAAAGAGGGTAAAATGACATGGTGCAGGTAACAGAAAGAGAAAAACAAAACATGAGCATGTAATCACAAAGAAGAGTACATTTGTAAAGTGTAATACCTTTAAATTAACAGTTTTGTTGAAGTGCCACTGCAGCAAACGACAGATGTTTTCATAACTCCTAATCACTCATCAACTACGTGTTATTTTCACATTACTGCATTTATAAAATACTAAAAACTTATGGGAAATGTTAAATATTCTATATTTGTCTTACTGTCATCAAAAGACCAAAACAATGTGAGTGTCAGCCTCTCAGCTCCAAGCTTACTGGCTCCTGCTGACGATGTAAAAGAGTTACAGATATGTAGTTTTACTGAAGGCTGACGAAGGCTGTATCGCCTTTGTGAACCGAGATGAAATGTAGAAGAAAATATACAGGGACTTAACTCGGAGGAGCTCTCAGCCTTAGATGACCAACAGATAAACTAGTAGATCTTCTGATGTTTTTCTGTCCTCTCTCCTCAGTCTACCCAGCAGACCCTGACTATTATGGCCGCCCAACTGTCCATGAGTTCCCCCAATTTGACATTGTAGAGGACACCTACTCCACCTCCACCATGGACTCGCGGAGGAACTCTCGATTCGGTGGCTTCCCATTCCCACTGGATCGCTCCGACCGCCGTGCACCCCTGCCACCATGCTATAGCAACCAGAACCTGGATGACTTCCTGGGTCCTGACGGGCTTCCTCTTCCCAGCTCTCAGTGTCCCAACGAGTACACCGCCATCAGCTACTACCCCACCAAGCAAACCCGCAGCCTCGACAACGTCTCCGGCTACAAGAGACTCAGTATGCGCCTAAGCGTGGCCATGCCATCTTACGCAGAGCAGGTCAGCACGCTGCCAGAGCCAAACCCTGGCCAGCCGCAAACACAACCAGCAGGGCAGAACCCACGCAGCTACGATGGGTCAAGTATGGTGGAGAGTGATTACGGGAGCTGTGATGAGGTGATGTTTTAAGACCAACTTTTGACTTCATCTTGTTGCGGGAATGTGCATCCATTCAGTAATTATTTATAGTTTTAGTTTCAGTTGGAAACCTAAACAATGCAAGTACATGCCACCTATCTACTGTTCCTCCATTGTAAGGCAGCTTTGTGTGCAAGTGCACATCTCAGACTGGACTGTTTGAAACTACTGAACAGTCTCTCACTGTAAGATCTGAGTCATCTCTTCACCCTGGTAGAGAGGAAAGCACCGTGTGAAGCAGTAGCTCAGGTGTCTTTCATTCCTTTGACTTTCAAAGCTGTGTAGTCTCGCTGTGCCAGACTAAAGGACTCATTGGGTTCCTTCAG